ACAAACCTCGTTTTCGTATGCAAGTTCATGCACACTTGTGTCGGCCTTCCAGGGTGGGTGCTTCACTGCGCACCCCCCTTTTTTCTAGTCGTACGCAAAAGCTCTTCTCCAACCGCCTGATCCCGCAAACCTCAGCCTAGCGGCAATCGGGTTTAGAGGTCTTGACGATCTTCACGTGCTTTGGGACGATCGTGTTGTCCCCGTTGACTCCCTTTCGGCAGGCGGTGCCCAGTCCTCGAATGCTGCACAACGTCATGCCATGCTCGGCTCACGATCAAGTCTTCAGCGAAGTATTCAGTGGGGTAATATGGCCGAGTTTTGGCTGAAGTTTCCGGCGGCCAGGGTTCGTGGAGTCGGGGGGGTGGAGGGCTTAAGATGGCCGCTCCAGCCAGAGCAGAGTTTGGGCGACTTCAACACTGAAGTGTGCTTGCATCTTGCTTGTGTCGTAGTCATGCCAGGAAGCCCAAAGACAGGGGCTCCTCCTGCATGGCAAGCATTACCTCGCATCAAGGCGCTTCTTTCAATGCCTGGCCTAGCTTCTGGGCTGATCTCTGACATGTGTGTGTGATCTGTTTGTTTGTAGGTGGCACCTGAACTTGACCTCACTGACCGACATGATTGCACTATGTTGCACTGCATGGCTGATTGCAGATGAAGCGACCACCCCGTTCGAGTCTGACTGGGCTGGGCTGGTCTGGTAGCTGTAGAGACCAACACCGGCAAAGACGGCCACCGTCAACACAAGTCCTACTGCGAGCGTCAAGAGCGAGCAGTTCCTCGGAACACCACGGGAGAACACCACGGGAGAACACCACGGAACCGCTCTGCTTTCTCTTTGTCTTGTGCCACCACTTGGACAGTGTGACTTCAACAAAATGCCACCACGAGACAGCCCATTGCGCTTTACAGCATCACGACTGAGCAGCGCATCAGCCTGCACGACACAGCCCAATGTTAAAAGCGCACAAATTTGCTCAGGACTTTGCCGGGCTTTGCCCCTGAATGCTTTGCTCTGCTCTGCGCCTCAAGCTCAATCTCAGTGTCGTTGTCTGCCAGAACAAGAGGCCTCAAACAAAGCGCAGGGGCAGGTTGCAACGCCGATTGTGCTTCCTCATGTCTTCCACACCATTCCACACCATTCCACACCATTCCACACCGCAACACAGGCAACATCAAGCAACACCGGTCGCCTCATGAGTGGAAAAGGTTTGCGAGGGCCGGGTGTGACCGAAGCCCGCCAGCTGTGAGCCACATGTGTCCATGTGTCCAATTTCGGGCCACCCAAGAAAAGGAAGATCGCATGCAAGGTAGTCTATCCAAGTCTAGCACTCGCCGTAAAACTCAGTAAACTCACAGAAACACTAAGGGTATGTTGCTCGCGGGGTAAAAGAGGCTCCTTTTGAACGTCGAATCGCGGAAAACGACGATGCTTCGATCTCGCGCTCACTCTTCGTAAAACCGCCCTCGGCGAATGTAGGACCTGGGCACAAACTCTGTTGAGAATACTCTCTCTCTGCTTCATGAACTGGGCCGTTTCACAGCGGGATGCTGCCAAAGTGCCAATACTGCCAAAACTGCGAAACCACTGTGAGACTGTGAACCCTTCACGCCCGTCACCCTCACCGCAGCCGGGCGACAGGACACCCGGCGGCACCAGCCCCTCGATAGTTCTCAGCTTGCCGCCTTTCGATCACAGCCCCCAGAAAAAGAGGCATATGAACTCAAGAATGCAAAGCGCCAGAGAGCTCTCTGCACTTCACTCTGCACTTCACTCTGCACTGGCCCCCCAAATCCCTCCCACCTTTGGCGGCCTGCGCAGGGAAGCAACAGCCTACGGTTGTCTTCCATATCTCTTTCGGATCAGCACCTGGACGCCCCGCCTCTTGCACTCGCCATGAGTACTGCGATCGCTTTCTGATCTCCTGAGGAAGCGGGAAGACATGAGAAGACGCAGAAACGGAAGCGGAAGCTGCAAGTGCACAGCAAGTATTGAATGGCAAAGTCAAGGCTCTGTTGAAGACAGGTTGCCCTCGATGAAGTGAAAGTGCTCCTCAGCAAGCGAGCAGCAGGTTCCCAATCCCCCCTTTAGGCACGAAGCACGAAGCCGAAAAATCCGAAAACGTCCAACACTAGAGAGTTCCCAAACAACAGGGGTGCCGCGCCGGCATCTGCATCCACCGAAGGCGTGGACCGAATGCCTTGAGCCCTGTTGGGTCCGCCTCGTGAGCGGGAAGAGGGCTCAGGCGAGTAACGTGGTGTTGCGATCTCAGGGGGGTCTTCGGGGCTTTGGAGTGTGTAGCCTTTTTCAGGGTGACAAGGGCTGTGAGGAATCCAGGGGATGGCTTTGGGATCCAGCATTCGACCGCGCCTCGGTTTTTGGCACATCGTAGCCAGGGCGCGGGACAACAAGAAACTCAAACCTTGGCCGAAAAATGTTGCCAACAGATTGCCATTACTTTGCCTGAAAAAAATAAAGAAAGGCCGTCGCATGTCTGCACAAAGTGCTTTTCCAATCTTCTGTGTGTTTGGGCAAGCAATGGCAAGCAGCTCTTGTAGAAGCTTGTCTCCCGTCACAATCTCTTTCTCCGCCTGGTTCGTAGGAGGGCATATATGGCCACGATAGCCCTTCATAGCCCTTCATAGCCTTGTAGCCTTGCAGCCTTTCTGGCCTTGCAGCCTCTTATGGACTGAAGCAGCCCTAAGCGGCAGCCCGCATGAAACGCAAGTGCTGAGACAGGAGCCTCGGGCATTCCCTCCTTCCAAGCTTTATTCAGGGAAGTCCATTCCTGAGTGGGCGAAGTGACGCGAAGCGACACGAAGAGACACGAAGCGATTCGAAGCACGTTTTAAATCTTAGGCGCTAGAGCCCGTTAAGGCCGGCTAGGGCCCACTTAGGGCAGGGCAGCAATGTTTGTTCCTGGCTGGAGCCAGTCGGATCCAATCACAAACCTGCGACGGCTGAGAGCTCAGGGAGAGCTCCGGCACGAGGGCATCTCATCATCTCTTCAAGCTGAGCCGCGCAAAGTTGGTGTTGGGATTCTGCTCCTGCACTGAAAACGTCAAAGGCATGTCAGGAAAAAACATGGTGTGGGAGCGTTGGGTCCTTGAGCTCCACCAGCAAATCGTACGTGAAGGCTGCCTGCTTCTTGCCCATGTCAATGTCGCTGACCTCAGGTTTTTCTTTGCCGCAACCTCACGCCGGCTCCTCTCCGATCTCCTCCAGCCTGTGCCCGCCTTGACTGGAAAATCTGGACTGAAGACAGTGTTCACGGCGATCTGGCACATGCAATATCTGTCGACGGCTGGCGTCTTCAACTTCCTGAGCTGCGCCCTCTCGGGGTGGACACTCTCAAAAGTGGAGAACTCTCAAAGAACACTGTTTGGGAACACTCTTTACAGAACCGGACTCCAGAACGTTTCAGAACATGTGTGGAGCTATTTTTGGGGACCTCCGAGCGGCGGCTTGTCTGGACGAGGCCCGCAAGGCACGAGCCAGACTTCATCGGCCGAGTGGCTGTGCACCTCGTGGAGAATGGTGCACTCACGTGACTCAAGGGAAGCTCGGGCCCATGAGGCCCATCATATATGACATCTCACTAGCAAGCCCCATGTCCGTAGTCCGAGGCGCAATCTCTGCCGCACAGGTTAGATGAGAGTTCGTCGGGGGATCGAAAGCCTTGGAAGAGCTGCGCTCAGCATGGGCAGTGGCCAACCAACACGACCCTCCGGCAACGCTCGTCACAACACAGAAGCTGAAAGAACAACAAGGCACTCCACCGTAAATGGCAACTCGCTTCGGCTGCGAGGGAACAGCCTGCGACAGGGCTCTGCCCTTTGAAAACTCTGCTGTCTCCGTTTTAGCTTCATGCCAAAGCTGCAGAAGTGCCAAGCCGACGAAGCACCACGCGAAGTCACACGACTCAAAAAAGCGCCTCTTGGGTTGGGTATGCCATTTCGTGGAAGAGCGTTTTCCACTCATCGGCCGCTGCTAACTTTGAGCCGAAAGATGGACAATATCAACTGCAGCCGACTCAAGCCAAGAGGCAGGAGGGAGGCAGATCTGGCAGGGGATGGAAGCGTCGGCCGAAAAGTCCCAGCACTATTGAGTACATTGTGGGGTGGGTGTCTGTCCACGGTTTCCAACGACGTCCTTTCCGGAAGCTGGTACCTCCGTGGAGGCTGTTGCAAAGGCAACTGCGGTTGTAAGTGGTACCTGCACGTGCCTGCATGTACCTGCATGGGGGCCTTTTTTGGAATCCGGTGACTCCCCCAAAGAAAATATGTTCGGCCTGGGCCTGGGCCTTGTCCGGGGTCCCTTTTCCACCTTTGCCTTCCCCTAAGTGCACGGACAACCTACCTTTGTCTCCTGCGATGGTGACATACTGACTCAAAAATACTCACTTGGTTCAACATCTAGTTCAAGCTGCGCGCGCCGAGAGCTGCATGCTTCAACGAAAACTTGTATGGATATGCTGGGCCAAGACGGGCGACACCAAAGCATCAATGCCTTTTCAACAGCAATAGTGCTTGCGCACGGGCTCGCCAACGCTGCCACTTTCGCAATTGCCGGGTTTGTCAACAACTCAAGCAAACAACATGCACGCTCTGCCAAGCCCCCTGACTGATACTGGATATGCTGCTCATCGACACGCTCAACATCGACAAATCTCTGAAAGGTCCTGATTTTTGCCAGCATTCATAGGAGTTGAGAGCTGTTTTGACAACCAAACTAACCAAACCCACCAAACATACAACGATGGACGCAAATCTGACATGATATGTGCAAAACGTGTCAATCAGGCGCGTTCAACAGACGCTGCCGGCTGGGACTTCCAAGACCTATTTATGAGAACAGAAGAGGTCATGAGATACACAGCCGGGACTGCACTTCAACGCGGAAGTTTGATGGCCAAAGGCGGCAGCATCGCATACTCGGATGCGTATCGAAAACAATCAGTACAATCAGTGCCTGTACCGGCAATAGGGGTTGCGGCAATGGGCACCGTACCGGCATCGCCCGACGGACCACCAAGCGTGCATCAGAGCTCGCATCCTGCACGCTCATCAATGATCGGTACGCAGGCGGCGTGTAGTGATCGCGAGCAAGATATGGCAAGATGCCTGTTTGCTGCTGAGTGGCCATCCTGAGAATAGGGCCCGTGAGGTGATCAGTCGTTCCACTGCACGCACGAATGCCTAGCACACCAAGCCCAAATGCCAAATGCAAACCCCCACTACTTCATTGTAACTTAGCATAACCTGTCGTACCTGTCGTGGTGTTGCCTGTCCGGCAAGATGGGCCGGGCCAGGACTGTGCAGGTTAGGGGCCGCGGGGCACAAACCCCCATCATCGGCTGGCAGAGGCCGTGGCAGCGCCATGCGAATGGCATGCAATGCCATTATCCGCCGACCCCAGCGGTAGCAGGGCGGCGTCAGTGAAGACCCCCCACCGCCCTCACCGCCCTCACCCGCTCTCACAGCATGCTGCTCATGACACCTTGAATTGGAGTGTTTTTGCATTGTTTGGCTTCAGTGCATGCCCAAACCCCGCCACCCATCGCCCTCACCCATGACGCCTTGAATTGGACCTTTGACCCCCCCCACCCCATCCATTCAGGTGGTTTAAAGGGTCCAGTGCATGCCCGACCACCCCCTGACCAATCTCTAGTGTTTTAAGCATTCCAGTCCATGCCCGCCCTGACCGCCCTCACCGCTCTCACCGCTCTCATCACTCCCCCTCCCTATGCCCCCCAGTCCACCCCTCCCTGACACCAACCCTTTGCCCTCAACCCCCCACCCTCGACTCTGAAACCCCACCCCCCCCCACCCCCCCCATCCCTTCCCTCCTAGGCCCCTACCCCCTACTCCGCCCTGACAAATCTCTAGTTTGAGGGATTCCAATCCACGCCCGCCCTAACCGCCTCCCCGCTCTCATCACTCCCCTGCCTTCCGCCCCCAACTCCACCAACCCTCGACCGTCACCTCCCCTGTCCACCCGCCGCGCTCCACCCTGCCTTCCGCCCCAACCCTCTCACCAGAGCTGGTCAAATGAGTCAGGCCCCCCTTTCCGCCAGCCGCCCCCACCCTCTCCCACTCCCACTCCCTAACCCTCCCACCAACCCTCCCCAGCCCTCATCATTACCCCCTCCCACCATCGTGCACCATCCGCGCCCCCCCGCTCTCCGCCTCCCCTCTCCTAATGCCCCCCACCACCCTCTACCGTCACCCCCCACCGCCGCCCCCCTTTCCACCCCCACCCACCCCCACCCCCCCCGCCCCCGCCCCCCCCGCCTGCCCGCGCTCCACCCTGCCTTCCGCCCCAATGCGACTGTCTTGGGTCTGGGGTCGGCGGCACTGGCGGTAGCCATTAAATCGGGCAGCGCGAGGTCCCCAAAGGACCGAGCAAATGCGGACCTTTTAGCCCGGGTCGTCCCGGGAATAGCCTTGCTGGCCTCTGGCCTTCTGCGAAGCAGAATTAGGCCGGACGCCAGTGCCGCCGACCCCCGCGTGCCGCCGGTGAACGGTTTTTTTTTCGTGGTTTTTTGCGTCGCCACGGAGGCCCCCAGAGGGCGCGCATCATGAGCATCAGCGGGTCCAGGCCGGGACCCCCAGGCGCGCATCAGGAGCATCAGCGGCTCCCGGGGCGGGACCGCGGGGGGGCATCAGGAGCATGATGCCCCCCAAAGGGCGGGCATAAGCGACGTGTCTAAGCCCGGGGCTAGGAAAAAGGTAGTTTAGGGGCCTTATAAAGTGCTTAGAAACGTTAAGGGAGTCTCGGAGCCTCAAACGCTTAGAGATTTGAAGGGAGTTTAGGGGCCTGAAAATGCTTAGAAACTTAATGCTTAGAGATTTTAAGGGAGTTTAGGGGCCTCAACATGCTTAGAAACTGCTCGCCCCGGGCTTCTGCGTACGCTGCCCGCCCATGGGCGCAGCCCCTTAAAATAATCTGGCGCATGTCCAGGCTGTCCATGCCGCCGACAAGCAAGAAGAAAGCACGAGGACACAAGTTTGGGACAACGCTATGTCGAGGCAGCCATCACCCACGGTCACAACCGGACATGTTTCATGTCAAATAACAACATGAATCTGGATTGCATGTCAGAGAACAACATGAACATGGAAAACGGGGAAGGTCAACCCTGCGCTCTGAGCGATGCAGAATGTCTCCATTTTCCTGAAGCGGAGCGAGATGTCCTCAGACTTTGCCAGGATGCGATTTCGCCTCGCCCAATGTAGCAATCGCAACAGGTGCATCCGATGCATCCCACTTGGTATCACAGAGGCATCTGAGAATGGGGCTGAGCGAGCCAAGTTCAAAAGCTTCTGCATCTTCCCGGCTTCCAACTGGGTTCAGAAATTGCAACCCTGAACCACAAGCAAGCTTCTTTACTGTCCGGCTCTGGGAAATGCTCCCCGAGGTTTCCAGGAGCCGCGGATCGTCTAGAAAAATGGCTGACGATGCTCACTTGATGCCCGGCTTTTTACGGCAGCTTCGGCCCTTGTTCCCTCATGGTGTGCATGGTGTGCATATGAAGGCTTCTTGGGGAAGCTTAAGCTCTGGGGGCTTGGCCTGGGTAAACGGCTCGAGAGAACGTAAACGCTCCTCAATGTAAGGTTCAAGGTCGAGGGTTTCAGGTTCAAGGACTAACGTTTAGTTGCGATTTGGACGTTGCTAAGGTTCAAAACTTATTGCGAAATTTTAGAAGGCTGCTGCTCGGAGTTTTAGTCCAGGCGGACAGCTCAAAGCGAACCTAAACGCTGCGGCACCGTTGCGGGCAAGATTCTAGCCGACGGATCCCGGCTCAGAAAAGAATGTCTCATGACGCGCGCCTGGCGTGAGGTGTTTGAAGCTACAGCCGCCCCCAGGTAGGTCGCTCGGATGGCCGCGCACGAGTAGAGGGGCTTGTTGGCTTTGGCTGGGGTTTTGTCGTTTATTTGCAGTGTTCTTGGGCTCTTGTGCGAAGGCCCTGCCCAGAATCGCGTGAAAGGTCAGTATTTGGGCACTTGCAAACTCGTGCTTTCGGCAGTTGGTTGTCGAGCTGGTGAGTTTCCGCACGGACGTGCACGCATGTCGGGGTTCACCGCAGCTTTCCGAAAGCCTTTGATCGGCCGCCGCGATGACCTGTCTGAGAAGCGAAATTTCAACCCCGTATGTTTGAGGTGGGCGTGAGCACCGCGGCGGAAACATTATGAGCATGATTGAGGTCCCATTTTTTGACAGCTCGTCCCGGCCCGCTGGCTAAACTGTTGAAATCACGCGAGACTTCCAAAGCAGCTAGGGCTTACAGTTTAGGATGTGTTAGCATGTCAAGCTTAGGTTTGTTCACATTGTGTTTGGGGTTTTGGCCTCAGGGGACCGAACATAAACGCTCCCGATCCAATGTACGAGGGGAATGCCTGCAAAAATAGGCACTCACATGCAATGCCCCCAATGCTGCCGGCAAGCTCTGGCTGTGAGTTCACGCAAGGTCCACAGAGCAGCAGGCTGTGATCGCTGGGCGTGGTCCCAAAGCTCCATCAAGAAGGTATAGAGGGGGCGTGGACTCCAAGAACTCAAATGCGCGAAGTCTCGCACTATCCATTTCACACCTCGGGAAATGAACAGTTGCCGGCTTTTACTGAGATGGGGCACGAAGTGTTTTACCCCAATACGCGGCTGGGTCAACTGCACCCCCTTCTTGGCAAAATCCGAACCCATGCAAGGTTCCAGGGGTTGGTTCTTCCTGTGCTACATGCTTGTGCCAAGGTTCAAGGATCATTGGTCCAGCGATCCACGAATCGGCTTTCCCCAAACGGATTTCGACCAGCGGAATCAGCAAATCGCTTGAATCGCCTTTGCCACGTCATCATCTCAACTTGCCTACTACAAGTAGCAGCGCCTAGCATGGCTCTCAGCTGCGACCGTGTAGCTGCTCCATGTTCACTTTGCAGATGAGATAGCTGGCCAGGGCCTGCAGGTGTTTGGACTGCAGACCGGTCCTATAGGCTTTCAAACCCTGAATCCTGCAGCCTCTCCGAAATCGGACTTCCGGAACACCATGCATAGTCTGGCCACGCTTTTTGCCTGCCGAGGCAGTATACACAACGAAGGTTGAAGGCACAGCCCTTATAGAATTCTTAGAATTGAGCCACGGCACACCCAAAAAGGACAGCACGCGCCTCAGCTTTGCCAGCAGTACGCTTTGGCATCATGATGATGCACATGTACACTCCAAGCCAAGTGCAACCGCACGAGCATTACCCCGAGAGCGCGCAAACCCCATGAAAGGGCATGTTTCTAGAATCGCGAATTTCCCCCTAGTTTCAAGACTTGCAGTCGCTAATTTGGGCTAAGTTGCAGCAATGCGGTTGAGATCGGAAGATTTCGCGCAGGCAACAGCTGCAGCTAAGCCCCCCGCGCATCCGTCAACATGAGCTCTGGCTTCGCACACGCGCAGTCCTGCAACGCCGGGAAATGACGTACACCAAGACCATGGCAAAAGCTCCGGAGCAATAACTCACGTGAAACTTTCCTCATCCATCATACTGTCCACAGTTGCAGACGAGGAGGGCGTCCCCGTGCTGCTGAGATCGTCGGTAGCACTCCTTTCCAAGGAGTTTGAGCAGACAGGTGTGGGTACTAAGTCTTTAGTCCGCCAGCCCGGCTAGCATCAACAGCGCATCAGCAGGGCATGAGCATCATAGGTCTCAGTCAAGGCACATCACGCTTTCTGCGCCAAGGCCGGCTGCATCTTTGTACAGGTGGCAGAGCACTTGGCAGCCTTTGCGCAGCCTCATTGCCAACAGGACGGCCCAGCACGGGCTACAAAGTGCTGCGCTGAGCCAAGTCGCTCCAGCGAACCCTCCACATCAATGCGGTGGAGGTAGACACGGCCTGCAGCTATTGCAGCTTGAAGGCGCCGACATTCAACTGCCCCATCCTAGGTATCTGGCCTCGCCGACTGTCCTCTCCATGAAGTCGTAGCCAGCCAAAATTAGAACCAGGCCAGGACTCCACGGTGGCCAGAACCTTCTCTTTGGTGAGGCCTAGAGCCGTCACAGGAGAGTTGGCTCTCAATCTAGACTCCGCATTGGCTCACAGAGCCCCTGCGATCGGGACCATCACTGAACCCTGGTTGCTGACAAGGGGCGGTGCCGCTTCAAGTATGGTCCTGTTGGCCACGCCTGGAAGGCATCTCTAGCTACTTGGTATCAGCCCTCGACTACCATCACTTCTGTCTGCCGCCCGCTCCTGGGAGCAATAGCTCCACGCCCACCACGCCCACCAGGATTGCACGTCGACGCGGGGGTGTCGGGCACGCATGTCGGAAGCTGTCCAAGACTTCTGCAAACTAGATGTACGCCTGATAACTGCTGGCAAACGATTTCAGTTCCCCAAGCCTCATGAGTGGGCAGCTCTAGAACAACTGCAAATCGTTCGGCACACTGTCGTCCTCTCAAGAAGGCTGCTTTAAAACACCTTTCAGCTTGAGCCAAATCAGCTGTCGTGTTGGCCAAGAATTCACTCTGCGCTGCTTGGCTGCTTGTACGAGCGCGCACTGTTGGTGCAAGAGACCTTGAATTCGGCAGTCAAGACAAGCGCTGCCAAGGTTTCTTTGCGACTTCTTCTCTAGGACTTTGGGACCTTGGGAGGTTCGTCGCGTGAAACGTGGATGCCACAACACTTTCATTGTGCGTGAAACGCCTCGGAAAGGGGCACCAGCCAACTCCGAGCTTTTCGCCCTGAGCGGCTGGCTTGCTTCGGCCGGTGCCTCACCGCGCTTCAGCCAACTCCTGAAGAATGAAAGCGAAACAGACAGAGAGATCTGAGACAGAGCAGCTGCTCATGGGTGCAGTAGCTCTGTAGCTCTTTGGAGCTCAAAGAATACTGGCTCAAAGAACTTGTCAAGAAAATCCCTTCAAGAAAGACATCTGAGACACTTGAGCCAGAGTGCCCTGGAAAAGAAAGAAACAGAAAGAGAGAGAGAGAGAGAGAGAAAGAGACAGAGGAAGAGACAGGAGAAGAGACAGGAAGAGGGAAGAGAGAGGAAGAGAGGGGAAGAGAGAGGAAGAGAGAGGAAGAGAGAGAAAGAGAGAGAAAGAGAGAGAAAGAGAGAGAAAGAGAGAGAGAAGGCCCCCTGTCCTTCGTCACAACGCGCTGCATCCGACCGGTCCTTAGGCGCCAGCAGAATCGCAAGAAAGAAAAAGAGCGCGGGAAGAGAGAGAGGGGCAAGCTCGCTCTCTCCTCGCACTCTCCTCGCACTCTCCTCGCTCTCTCCTCGCTCTCTCCTCTTCGACTCTTTCTCTCTGCTTCCTCTGCCGAGCGGCTTCGGGTCCTCCACGAAGAACTCGTGGGCCTCGTCGCCATCCGCATCTTGGAGGAGGCCGACCATCTGAGCCAGGGAGATCCGAGTACCGTCCCCCATGGTCTTCGCGCTCATTCCGGAACCCCGCGCAACCCACTGACAACTCAGGGCCCTGGGGATCTGAGAGTCATCCCGGCTATGGCTCCCGACGGGCGCCGCAGCGGGCGCCATCTGCACATGCGCATCGGGGTTGTCCTGAGCGCAGCTGAGGACATGCTTGCGGCCCGCGGGAAGCCCCCAACACACCCAACACACCCACTCTCTTGGCCGGTGTCCTGCACCACTCTCGAGGGGTCTGGCGGTGCACCTCGGCTCTTATCATGCCGAAGGCATTAAGAGAGTATATCGAAAGACAGAATCTCTCTCTTGCCCCAAACAGGACACAGAAGCAAAAGAAATCCTGGCATCTCGCTCTCGCTCTCTCTCTCTCTCTCTCTCTCTCTCTCTCTCTCGCATCGAGCGCTCGGTCTTTTCTCCAGGGCCCCGGACGGCCGCTTGGTGCACTGTTGGGAGACGGGCTCGCCTGGATACCCATCTGGCGGCGTTAAGGTGCCGGAGGAGCGAAAGGAAGACATAGGCAGACGTAGGAATAAGAAACGGAGAGGCATCGGGAGAGCTGACTGCTAACTCATGCGAACTCAGGAAGCGATTCAGCCTTTGCCCGAGAGGCTGGTGACGCCGGCGAGGTGGGTGATGCAGGGGATGGGGAGGCAGCTGAGGCGCCAGGAGAAGGCTTTGCATACCTTGCAAAACTTGGATGGAGGCTGAGAATGAACTTGAGCAGAGCTGCACTGAACAAAGCTGCACACGACAGAGGGGGGGCACTTGTCAGCACTGGGAGTGCTGGAGGACGCACAGCCCATAGCAATCCTGGAAGAGGAACGTGACTCGGCAGCGGCAATCGTTGCGCCCAGAGGACGGCACCCTCACTGCCTCGGCAATGGCGCAGCCGGGGTGGATTCTGAGCCATCACGGGCAGCGGGGTGGCGAAGATGCACGATCGATGCACAAGCGCAACCCTGTCACAGCAGATCCCACCAGATCCCATCAGGTCCCATCATGCTTTTCCGCATCCTCTCAGAATGGCTGTCGAGGCTTGTTCGCTCTGGTTCTCCTGCTCACTTCCTCAGATTGCACCGCACAGTCACCAAACAGCAAACTCGCCGGGGAGAGCGCTACCACTAAGATGCCAGCAGCTTCTTCTTGGGACGGAGCTGGTTGGAGTGTCCACACCTTGGGCCAAGTGACACTGGGACGCTTCCTCCCCACCGCAAAGAACATACTGACCAATAAAGAGCTGTAGATTTGGTTGTGCTTCGGTGGCTGCAGCAGAAGCCCAAGCTCAAGGCTTCTTCTTGCGGCAGTTCACCGCCCTGAGCATCGAGACGACAAAAGGACCGACCAACGCAGGCTTTCAACAAAAAGCATGCTCTCTCTCTCTCTCTCTCTCTCCACAGCTGTGCTGATGCAGAGCTACGGTCCCTGCCGGGCATGCAGGCGAGCGTAGCATCTTCGGCAGATCTGGGGAGCTTCATACATGAAGAGGTGAGCCGGTGATGCGCTGACGCAGTTTCTTGCAATTGCGGTGGAATTTTGGGAGAGGCAGCTTCATGCAAAACCCAGAGGAAAATGGGCGAAAAGCTGCGCAACACTCGGAGGCCGGGGCCATCTTCTCGCAGTTGAACTTACGCGCCAGAACAGCCAGGGATGGCTCGATGACCTGAGAGGCCGCCCAGGGCAGGATGTGCAAGCTACAAAGAAGTTCCCCCTCAAATCCGCTAACTAATTCAAACAACACAAAATTAAGCACCATGCCAAAACTTACCTCGCGGACGTAGCTCTGCAAAACCAAAGGCATTGCCGAAACAGCCACATCAACCAGTCCATAATTCAAAGGCTGTTGAGGCGAACGCAAGCTCTCAAGATGTTTGACAATGCTGGTAGCACAGAGGCACAGAAGGGGAAATCTAACACCAGCCTCTAATAGTAGAACATGTTTCCGTGCCGGCCGCAATGGAAGACTTGGAAATGTCAGAGGCATGCAGCTTCTGAAGTTTGAGGACATGGCGATCCGGCACACAACGTTGCAAAGAAACTCATGAACTGCGAAAGCAAGGGAACAAGGGCCCAGAAGACCAAAGACGGGGCGAGAAATGCCTGGCGCCTGCGCCCAAAGCCCTCTTCATCAATCCAGCGAAAAATTCCGACATACCTCATGGCTACCTGCTGCCTGTCAGGTTTACCTGGTAAGCCCAAACCCTAAACTCTGCACCCTAAACCCTAAACCCTAAAGCTTGTGGCCTTTCTGGGCAACCTGCGCCTTCTCCCTTTCTTGGGCTCCCGGGCGCCGCCGCGGAGGCGCAGCACCAGGTGCAGCGTGGACTCCTCTTGGTTTCAGGATTGTGTGTAGCTCCGTGTGTGTACAGGCGTCCAGTTTTGCGAGGACGGCCGCGAAGCGGTTATATTTTTGCTCCAACCTCGTTATGTGCCTTGCTAAGTGCCGGTGATCTTTTGCGCCATCGGCTTAAGGGCCCCTGATTGTTTGATTGGCATGTAGGCTTTATCAGGCCGAATCCGGAAAACATCAATGTGCTTGTTTTTGCGATTGCACTGCGACTGCGTGGCCTTCTGGATGTTGTAGTCACTGAGGGTGCGGCCGTCCTGCCACGATGCTAATCGCATCTTGCTGAGTAGAGCACTGCAAACACCGGGTCCCGGCCACAACACAGCATGAGGGAGCCTCCAACTGCTTGCCGGCGAAGATCAAGCGCTGCTGGTCGGGAGGGATGCCTTCCTAGGCGTGGAACGAGGTCTCATGTGTGATGATGCTGATTGATGGCATGTTGATGGCATGTTGATGGCATGTTGATGGCATGTTGATGGCATGTTGATGGCATGTTGATGGCTCAGGGAGCGTCTTTGTCCTGGATCTTGGCCTGGCAAACAGCGGCAGCCCGCTGCGACATAAGTTGTGAAGCACACGACTGGCCTTCACGTTGTCGATGGTGTCAGACGCCTCGAATGCGGATGTCTTTCGGGGACCTGGGGCCCCTACTTTGGAGTGCTTCCTGCTCCATCCCTACCTCGACATCCAGCGTGATAGTCTTCCCCGTCAGCGTCTTGACCTCGCTACCCACCGTCTCTCTCTTAGCAGCCGCGACAGCCCGAAAATCTCAATTCGAGCTGGGACCGAAGCGAAGATTTGCATGGCTCCCAAGTGGCTCGCAAGCCCGGGCCCCCCGCCCCTATTCGACTCGACGCCTCTTGAGAAGATCTGACAACGGAACGGAATCGGGCCGCGTTGCTTTGGGCTCACAGGATGTTGTTGCCAGTTGGCAACTCGAAGAGGCGAGCAAGTCAAAGCACCTTGAGATTTCGCTGCGACAGGCAGTGCTGCAAGTCCAGCCGCTCACATGTCCATGAGGTCGTAGGACATAGAGCCCGCAGGACGTTCTGCCAAGGAAGCGTGCTGTACCGGTAGAACGGGCCAACAAAGAGCTGACAAAACCAAGCAGGAAGGGCAAGAGCGAAAACGAAAACCCCCCTTCCCCAATCCTCACCTGCGGAAACATCCAGCACACTCGTCTTGCGGACGTAGGACTCGCTCGTCACCACCTCGGAACAGCGGACCTTGTTTCCTGTCACCCTTCGACTCCAAAGACTGCTCTACCTCCGATACCCACTGCTCCCTCCGCCGTTCTCTCCTTCTTGCCCTCCCCCCCCCCCCTCTGTCCCTTTCTGCTCTCCGTTCTGCTCTGTTCTGCTCTGCTCTCCGCACCTCTTGCTCGAAGCCGCTGATCCTGGCACCGCCAACTTGGTCCATGTAAAGCCCTGTCTGAACACTGCTGAAAGCTCCTAAGTCGCTCAAGGATGAAGGTGCCTCTGAGACAGCTCCATGATCTGGCTCAGCTTTCCCTCGGGTCGGGAGATTTGAGGCAGGCAGAGGAAGATCTTGAGCACCCTCTGTTCAGTAGTTTCTTTTTTTCTCCACTTTAGGGGCTTTAATACTAAAGAGGCTTAGAGAGGAGGCACCCCCCTTTGCCTCGAGCGTCTGCATCATGTCCATGTCCAGGTCCTCTGCGTCCTCGAAGGACACATTGCCGGTGCGCTGGTCGATCCTGGCCTGCCCCCCCCAAGAGCCCAAACGGTCGGACGGAGGAGAAGGGGGTGGCTCTAAGTGCCGGGGCCTCCTTATCAGGGCTGATTTCAGGGAGTGGAGGGTGCGGGGGCCTAGAGAAGATCTCCCTGTTCCCTGTGCAGTGCAGCAGTTTCGTTTGCATCGCGCAGCCTGAATCTCACCCTCCGAGATCATGTCGAAGAGCACGGCCTCGGCCTGGCCAAAGGCCCCCGAAATATCAGCCACCACCGTCACGGGCTGATAACTCCCCTCCTCTCCTCTCCCCTCCTCTCCCCTCCTCTCCCTTCCCCTTCCCCTTCCCCTTCCCCTTCCCTTTCCCTTTCCCCCGCCTCGGTATGATCACCTTGCAGACCGGCCTCTGTGCAACCGAAAAGATGCATCCAGCTCGCGGCTGGACTCTGCTGAACTCTGGTTGCTTGAGGCCTCGGTGGCGATCTCTGCCAGCGACAGCGTCAGGTACCTGAAGTCCAAGTGTACGTACTCTTGACTGAGCATTCACCATGCAGCCATGCATTTGAGGCGCAAAAAGGCCCCAAAGCTGGCAAAGCTGCTGCGGCTCACGTCTTGGTCAAGGTCAGGATCTTGTGTCTCCTCATTGACGAGAGAACCTGGCAGAGAGGCGAGTAGCTGGAAGTGAGGCGCAAGATGCTGAAGCGGCTTAAATCGGAGCTTCTCTGGGCTTCTTCCCCTGGCCTGTTTGACCAAGCCCATATTCTGGTCCGCCTAATGGGAAAAAGGGCGACGCAGGGCACAGGCGGGCACTGGAGCGCAACCCGTCACGAACCGAGTTCTGCAAGTGCCCACCTCTATGGCCGGCTGCTTCTCTTCAATGATCCTCTGCATTGCGATGGCATCAGCAGCCTTGAAGGCCTGCGAGGGGATTGGCCTTGCGCCTTACTCTTTCATCCCATTACATCTCTTTGTATCATCTCTGCTTGTAGATATGCGTACAACATACCATTTCGCACCGCTGTCGAAATGAACCGTCTACTTGATAGCGCGCGAGGGGAACCGGCTCAAGTTGCCTCTGCAATGTCCAGAACGTAGCTCGGGCTCTTCGAATACCTGAGAGCATCACCCTGTCCTGAACCCGTGACAGAAAAGTAGAGTAGAGTCGTAGAGACCATGTTCAAAAGGTCTCCACCTCACGAGGATGTGCGAGGTGTAGATCGGCAGCATTTTGACCTCACCATGCACCTGCAAAAATGGGTCCAAACAGAGAAGCCCCGTTTCTTGCTGCCCCCCTTGCCCAGCCTTGAGGCACAGCAGCACGTACTTCTTGTACGCGTCCGCCTGGGCCGTAGCTCTCGAATTCTCTCACAAAAGCAAATGATGCTTCGGGGGGGAACTTCTTTGGGCCGATCTTGGGCTCAGGGGCGCGGGCCTGGATGGCACTCAAACAGGATGCAGGGCCTCAGGGCTCGAGACAAGCCTTTTGCTGTGAAGAAACCCGAGTGAGTCGTACATGCTCTAAAGAGCATGATCTTATCTCACATCTGCTAAGTGAGACAAGGCGCAGGTGAGGACAACCAACAGGAACTGCAGGGCTTTGAGGAACTCCCGCATTCCTTTCCGAGCTTGATGTGTCGACAAATTTCAGCCGCTTAAGCCGTTTCAGCCCTTTCAGCTTGAACTTTGGCAAGGAGTGTCCCAAGTGCCGCAGGTGACCACGCGGATTCTCTCATTTTTTCATGTCCATCGACGCTTAGCTCCAGCAGCTCGCGCGTCATCTGCGACCTCAGTTACTTGGACCATTCTGAGACTCAGCTCGCAACAGCTCGCACAGCTCACAAACCTAACACCGCAGAGTTTTAACTCCAAGCGAGCTCCCCCCCCGGCAGCTTGGCATCGTCTGACAATGAGCACGGCACCATTGCACAGAAACCTAGACCCACAGATGCGAGAGCCAGCAGTTGTTCTGCTGGGTCAGCACCTACACTGTACACTCTGTACACTCTGCACACCAAGGATGTCGACGATCGACTCGCAGGTGCTTCGACACTTCGCCAGTGTGCTGCAAACAGCCTGCGACGGCTCCGTCACATCCCCCAAACACAGCCGGGTGCGGCGCAGCGCCGCCTCTGCAGCCTGCGTGGCCCTTGCCACGTCCACGGCAGAGGTCGGCGAGAGGCACCTCAGGAGATGCTGCGCCTGCGCCACCTCGGACTCGGCGCCCAGTGGCTCAGCAAAGCGCCTTACCAATACTTCTCCGCGGTCCGTGATGAGGCGGAACTCGCCAGACTGTCAAGGGCAGGGAAGGCAAGATTGGCAAGATGCAGCTGCTGCAGCTTCAACAAAAGAAGCACACTGCTACTTGTCCGCCAATTTTTCTAGTAGAATGGATGTTCCCAGCCTTCCCCAGCTCCGACGCGTTCTGGGCCTCGAACTCCATGCGGGCTCCCTTTGCGAAAAGCACGCGCGCCCGACGCCGCTCACCCCACCGAAAGACGGTGAGCTGAGCAAAGGCATCTGCAAGCTCTGCCTCATGCAGCCAACCTCCCACAAACTGGCCGATGTCAGACTTGACCGGAACCCATCCCGGGCATCCCGGGCATCCCGGACCCGCCGGACCCTCACAGTCATTCTGGCGAAGCCACGACACGGCCTCCTGCACAAGGGAGATCAGCCTGCAGGAGAAGGCCGAGTCTCCGGGTGGGAGCAGGTCCGCGCACAGGATGTCCGGCAGCTCCCACTCCATGTTCGCAGAAACCAGCTTCCAGAAGCCGCCTTTCAGGGAGGACTCCAGGAAGGCCCACTGGCACTGGCCATCATCAAAGGCTTCCACACTCGCCTCGTTCTGGCCCATGCGTATTGTTGAGAGTGGTGTCCAGGAAAGCATCACTGGACCTTCGCCAAAGGTACCCATACGCGCAGCTGGAGAGATACTGTCGCTGCTGTGATGGGACGCGCCGTCCCTAAACTCGGGAAGCGGCACCGTCACGCAGGTGCCGCCATCGAGAACTTGGCCGCTCGCAAGGCACTGCCGCAATTTTTCTGCAAGGCCCTGTATTACGCCAACGCTCTGACCGGATTCGCAGCTCTGTCGCAGCAAAGCAATCAGCAGAGGGTGGACCCACGCAACCTCAACCCATTCCAAGGACTCAACCGCAAAGCACTGCACCTGCTTGACACATTCGTGGAGGATCCCAGCAGCTCGATCCGAGCTGCGAAAGAGCCGCCGCGGGCCTGGCCCTTCCAACCCGTCCTCAGCATCAGCCGTCTCAGCCTTCTCAGCCTGCACTTCCTGCAGACGAACTGTGGAGGACCCGGTCGCCCGAAGCCACTGGACTGCAAATGTCCTTCCGTGCGGGGCCAGCAGCACACGAGCCGAACCATCCAAGGAAGAAACTTCCACGCTTCCATCCTCATGGGCTTCAGCGGCTTCAACATGTGATGGCCACACTACGCATGTGGGCTTGGTAAAGCTCTGGCAAAGCTCGGCTGGCTGCAGAGATGATGGATATGGGTGGAACTGATCCCTCACAGCTGCCGCCGCCATGATCTTGGCACGCAGGTCTGTTGCTCCGTACTGGGGGGAGCAAGTTGACAACAACCGCTGGCGCCGGCCATCGGGACCGAAGAAAGTTGCCTTTGCTGCCGTGGGCGGATGCAGAATGACCGCAGAGCCGTCGCTGAAGGTCGCTTCGGCCCGGCCGCTGACGTAGAGAACCAGCCGCTCGATGGCCCACTTCCCCGATGAGGGCGAGGGCGAACCCGGCATCAGACGACTTCTGACATCTAAGTTGGATAAGTAAGGGGTAATGGGCAGGGGTATATAGGACTGCTTCTCTGACCTGGCTCATTGGACTTGTTGTGCATGCCCTGCACTTCTTTTCTTGGTTAAGCTTCATTAAGCCCAGGAGTACCCAATGTGTCGAAGGCATGCCGCGCAGAGACCTTGCTTGTCCGTGCACTTCTGACAGAGCTGAGCTGGTGGCGCCAGCGCCAAAGCGGATTGAGCGACCTGAGAGAATCCCAGAGATTCTGAGAAGCACGGCTTTCTGAACATGTCCCACACACAGTGATGTCAAAAGTTGCTTGCCTTTAGTGAAAGAAATCGCGGGACAAAAGAAGGGAAAAAAGATATAAACCTGTCATCATGGTACCAGCCCCCTTGACCTCGAAATCCGTTCGATTCCGAAAACCTACTTTTACTGGACACCGGCCTCGCCGGCCTCGCCGGCCTCCCGCTCTTCGGCACCCGCTTGGCACATCAGGTCTTTGTCGCCTTTGTCGCCTTGATCCCCCTCAGGCGGAACCTGGAGAGCAGCCCAGCCAGCTTGTTTTGCTCGCAGCAAAGCTGCAATTAATTTAGCTCATTGAAGGTGCTGAGAGACTGCACATGTGCGAAAAGGTAAAAGCACCTGCAGCACGTGGCAGTACGCGGCATGTAAACAAGGTGCTCTGATGTGACAAAAGGCAGAATGCTGAATTGACTTCCGCGGGAAACGACTGTGATCCTACTCGCGTCGACCCACTTCTGCGGCGAAGCATCCATGAACGCATTCCCTGTTTTCAGCCACCGCCGATCAGAGCGACCGAAACCCCATTCCATGACACATTCAGTACACGTAGTTGATGTGGTGATGCAGCACTGAAAGACACAATCCATGAATGCGCGTGCATGCGCTTACAACCAATGTTCCGACACCACGCGTAATTATCGGGCTGCGCGATGCAAACGCCCTCGCGGGGCAAATTTCAATGCTGAAACGAGAAGTGCAGGGATCCTCAACAAATCGATCTTCTAGCGCTTGGAATCGCTGTCCGCAACGCGTGCCTTCAAGTGGTCGTTTTGGATCTGGATGGGCTCGGCGTACCACGCCTCCCTGGAAGCCAAGCGCTCCAAGGAGGCCCCCTTGGGCTTCTCGCCTTCGGCTCCTTTTGCCCCTTTCGGCACGGCGGGCGCAGCCGGCGCAGCCGGCGCAGCCGGCGCAGCTGGCGCAGCTGGCGCAGCTGGCGCAGCTGGCACCGGGCAGCTCGTCACCGCAATCTCTTCACAGTCAAAGGCCTTCCCACACCCACACAGCACGCCAGCACTCGTTGCGTTGCAATAGCCTCTTTACCATCCCTGAAAAACACTCGGCCTCCTTCTCAGGGGCAGGCTCAGCCTTCTTTGGCTCCTGTACATTTCATTGCGTATGGTATTATTGCAGCTGCGGCGAGCTTCGCACAAGACACGTGCGCAGATGCTACGTTGCCTTGCCTTGTCAGAAATTTTGAGCAGAGGCCAAATACAGCGCTGGACAAAGACATGTCTAACACCATGAAGCACGTCTCAATTTTGAAGCGAGCCTGGAGGCCAGGCACTGCATCAGGAGCGCACGAAACGCAGGACACCCTGAGAGCATCTGCAAAGCGTCTAAAGTGCAAACTGTGTAACCATGAGACACATCTCAAGAACGAGCAAGTAGCAGTAGCATGGAGTAGCGTGGGGCGAAGCCTCACAGCACATTGGAGGACTGCCACAACCTCCGCCGTCGACGTCGAAACCTCTGCACGGTGGCCCAACGCTGGGTCAGGATGGAACGGTTGCAACGTCTCAAAAAAAAAACGGTCCTAGGAATGGTACGATTTTCCTCTGAGGTCCGGTGCCATCTCGACCGACGTGCGATGGAAACGGCCTGGAGCTCGGCCCTGCTCTTGGGCACGCGCCACCTCACATATCCCCCGCACATCCCCACATCGCATCACATTAATCTCAACACTCAGAAAAGACGCACGTAACTGTGAATGCTTCCCCAAAGCCTCTGCCGACAAGTCGAAGCAGACGGAGGCCAGCACCTGAACTTCAGAGTTCTGTGGAGCTTCCCCTTTCCACCGCTTCGAAGTTCGGGAGGCCTGCAGTCGGCCCTTGCGGCCCTCTGGCCGGGAAGCCAGCAGCACCCAGAACGGCAGCCGAGCCATCGCCTCAAGCACACAGCATGCGGCAGTTTTTTTTGGGCTTGCTTCGCCCCCCCCTTCGGCCGCACCTGACCCGGCGCCTCGAACAGCATGGCCTTACCTCTCGGACTGTCCGACTAAAACAATCAGGAAGATGCACTAGATGTCTAAGAGCTCCTACCACAGCTTGAGTAGACACGTTGAGACCTAACCGTTCACAGCACCTTGCCATTCCTGGGCCACCTTATTCATGGAAATATTGAGTTTCTCGTCAATTTCGTAAAGGATAAGCAAGGAAAACCTGTGTTACGGTTGCACTTACCAACAAGTCAGGAAAGACCTTCGTCTACAAATAAACTACCTCATGTCTATGTCTGGCTCTTGTCGGCAAGAAGAAACACTCCGTTTCCCTTTCAGACGTACTCCGTGCAAAAAGCGAAAGTATGAGTAAATCGATGATAGACTGGTACGCTCCAATTGAAACACGTTTCGCCAGCATGCTCTTAAAGATGGCTTGGCTGTCATTGCGCGCATTTGACGAGGCAGGAGGGGAGCATCATGAGCATCAGCTGGGTACGTTTCCGGCCACATGGCGCCCCCTGACAAGACCAACTGCCCCAATGATTGTGCCCATTTGACGAGGCAGGAGGAAAGCATCATGAGCATCAGACGGGTACATTTCAGGCAACCAACTGCCCCAGTGAGTGCGCGCATTTGACGAGGCAGGAGGGTAGTATCATGAGCATCAGCCGGGTACATTTCCGGCCACATGGCGCCCCCTAGACTCCGGATGATGCAAAACCAACTGCCCCAGTGATTGCGCGCATTTGACGAGGGAGGAGGGGAGCATCATGAGCATCAGTTGGGCACATTTCCGGCCACATGGCGCCCCCTAGACTCGAGATGTTGCAAGACCAACTGCCCCAGTGATTGCGCCCATTTGACGAGGCAGGAGGGGGAGCATCATGAGCATCAGCCGGGTACATTTCCGGCCACATGGCGCCCCCTAGACTCCAGATGTTGCAAAACCAACTGCCCCAGTGATTGCGCGCATTTGACGAGGCAGGAGGGGAGCATCATGAGCATCAGCCGGGTACATTTCCGGCCACATGGCGCCCCCTAGACTCCAGATGTTGCAAAACCAACTGCCCCAGTGATTGCGCACACTTCACGAGGCAGGAGGGGAGCATCATGAGCATCAGCTGGGTTCATTTCCGGCCACATGGCGCCCCCAAGACTCCAGATGTTGCAAAACCAACTGCCCCAGTGATTGCGCACATTTCACGAGGCAGGAGAGCATCATGAGCATCAGCTGGGCACATTTCTGGCCACATGGCGCCCCCTAGACTCCAGATGTTGCAAAACCAACTGCCCCAGTGATTGAGGGGAGCATCATGAGCATCAGCTGGGTACATTTCCGGCCACATGGCGCCCCCAAGACTCCAGATGTTGCAAAACCATCTGCCCCAGTGACTGCGCACATTTCACGAGGCAGGAGGGGAGCAGCATGAGCATCAGCTGGGTACGTTTCCGGCCACATGGCGCCCCCTGGACTCCAGATGTTACAAGACCAACTGCCCCAATGATTGTGCCCATTTGACGAGGCAGGAGGAAAGCATCATGAGCATCAGACGGATACATTTCAGGCAACCAACTGCCCCAGTGATTGCGCGCATTTGACGAGGCAGGAGGGGAGCATCATGAGCATCAGCCGGGTACATTTCCAGCCACATGGCGCCCCTGGACTCCAGATGTTACAAGACCAACTGCCCCAATGATTGCGCCCATTTAACGAGGCAGGAGGAAAGCATCATGAGCATCAGACGGGTACATTTCAGGCCACATGGCGCCCCCTAGACTCCAGATGTCGCAAAACCAACTGCCCCAGTGAGTGCGCGCATTTGACGAGGCAGGAGGGGAGTATCATGAGCATCAGCGGGTACATTTCCGGCCACATGGCGCCCATAGATACCGGATGTTGCAAAACCAACTGTCCCAGTGATTGCGCGCATTTGACGAGGCAGGAAGGGAGCATCATGAGCATCAGCCGGGTACATTTGCGGCGAATGGCGCCCCGGAGACTCCAGATGTTTCAAAACCAACTGCCCCAGTGATTGCGCGCATTTGACGAGGCAGGAGGGGAGCATCATGAGCATCAGCCGGGTACATTTCCGGCCACATGGCGCCCCCTAGACTCCAGATGTTGCAAAACCAACTGCCCCGGTGATTGCGCGCATTTGACGAGGCAGGAGGGGAGCATCATGAGCATCAGCCGGGTCACATGGCGCCCCCTAGACTCGGCGTAGTTTTTCGTTAGGGGAAGAGGGCAGACGTAGCCATTCGCAATATTGGCCCCGGCATTGCAACGTCACACTTTGGTGGCAAATGTTCTGTTCTTGAAAAGTCTCTTAAACGCAGCATCTTGTTTGACGCAGAGCGCGGGGACAGTTTCTAAGTTGTACCCGTTTGACCAACTTGAAGCCGAACTGTCGCGAACCGGGGAAACCCTGGAAGGCCTCGGCCCCCGAAGCGCACGGTGCTCGGCGCGCTTGCCTCCAAGGGAGCCTCTCAGGCACAAACGTGCATTGAAGCACGTCTCCCGTTGGCCACGAGACATGCCCGTGGCTCGAAACAACGAAAGAGTCATATCCACAAAGCTCCTCAACGCACTTCGTTTTAGTTTTCATCATTATCTGACTGAACGACTGCTTTCTCCGCACCTACAAAGCGCGCATGGCTTGCTAGCATACCCAGCGTGTTGCATGGAGCTGGTCGGAATCTTCGGTCACAAGAGATACACAGGTACATCGAAGTACCAATGGTATGGGGCTGGGATTCTGGCTCTGTGGAAAGCTCGGAAGCCCCGCCTGCACAAGAGGGGCCACCAGCTCTGGCGCAAAGTCCAGGGCGCAAAGAGCCAGCACGGGATCCTGCAGCACGTGAAGAGCGACCTCTCAGGTTTTCTGTTGCCTTAGCCGTTTGGGGAAGGTCTCGAAGTCCCCGTAGAGTCCTGGAGCTTGGAAGACTTCGCGTCTTCTCGCCTTGAGAATCGACAAAGCTACCGAAGCTTCTGAAGCCAAGAACAAAACTGCCTCCCCGCCTCTGCGCCAAATCCATGGCAGCAAACTCCAAGGAAAGCACCGTGGCTTGGCTGCGCGGTGCCATGCTTGAGTCTTGCCCCAGTGTCCCCACTTGTTGCTACCCGTACCAGATGAATCCTCCAATTAGGATGCCCTGAAACCTGTGCAAAGGGTGCGAAGGGTGTTGACGGTGTTGGGACTCGTGCTGAGTTTTTGGAAGTCATTGGCCCTGCATGGGCAGCTGGCACTGTCTGTTGCGGTCCGCAGGCCTCACTCGGTTTGTTGTCAGCACTGCCCCACAGGTTCCTACAGTATGAGTGGTGGCGTTGACCACGAGCCAACAATGGCTGCACGATTATTTTTGGCTTGTAATACTGACGCGACTCAGCAGGGCAAGGGCAGCAACAAGGCAACGCGCACCGATTCGCACCAGCGCTCCGTAGTAGAAGTAGCTCAAGAAGCCTGGCCCCATCTAGCCCCGTGCAGCCCATGACGCGCTTGCATTCCTCTGGACAAGCACTCACAAACAGGCCCTCGGGGGCTCTGAGGTGTCACTTGGGCAGGACTGCCGTTGCCAGCGCTGTTGCCTTGTGGGGGACACCGCTGCATTTCCACCAAAAAGACTCTTCAAAGAGATGCCCAGCAGTGTGCAGCTGCTGGGCATTGCACCGGGCTCCAAGGGCCGAGCTAGCAGAGATATCGAAGATGGGCTGATCGAGGAGCCGCGCCGCAAGGTGGTAGACCTCCACTATCCGCAACCTCCCTGTCTGGTGTCGTGATGCAGGGCGGACACTGGTTGGGCTTTTGCCGGCCTGGTGCACTTGAAGCTGGAGGTGTGGGAGGTTTGGGAGCTTTGGCAGGTTTGGGACGCTTGGAACCATTATGAAGTTCTCTGCAAAGTTTCCACCAGGGTAGAGCTGACAAAAAAGGGGCACAACCAATCAAGCTGCGCCTTCACCTTCAGGCAAACCCGAAGGAACTCCGCGTGCACGGGCGTCTGAGATGCAGAAAGGGCTCAGAGCTGAGAGAAGCAGAAACGGCCGCTCCCGAATGCTCCGGCTCCGGGCTCCCGCACCAAGGTCTCCGGCGTGTCCTGCAGCTTCTCGAGGGCCGCGCGCAACGGAGGCAGGCTTTTCAGCATGGCCTGCACGAGGCGAGTATGACATGACTTTATGAGCGGAGTCCCCACAGTGTGCCGTGCGGTGCCGTCCTGCTGCCCGAGGTCGATGGCCATCTGCGAGAAGCTCCGGCAGACCGCCGTCATTGGAGAGGCAGCTTTCTTGGCCTCTCAGCTCAGCTCCGGAGCTCCCCTTGTCCCCGCAATCGTCCACAAAACCCACACCATGCTCTCCATGCTCTCCGAATGCTCTCCCGGGCCTGGAGTCCATCTGCGACTTGGAGGAAGTTGCAGATGAAAGCCTCTTTTCCCAAGAACTTTGTTGCATCTGACTCGCATCCTCTGGCAGAGACCCCAACGAAGGTCGCTCGCTGGTTTGCGAAGACGCCCGCGCTGAGCTGCGCCTCCGATTTGAACATCCACTCATCTTGGGTTTCATTTTAAGTCGCCCCATGTCGCCCCGCGCCAACTCTGGCAGGTCGCGCAAGCCTGGAGCAGGTAGGCCGCTCCCAGTGTGCACTGCCTGGCGACATTAGCGACCCCGACTTTCCCTTGCAAGGAATATCTGAGAAGACGCCTCTTAGAGTCTTCAGAGTCTTAGAGTCTAAGAGCCGGGCACGGGATCCAGCGCTTGCAGGGCTTGATCGATTTGGGAGGCATTCGCCTTCGCGGCAGCGGCACGACCCGAATACGGGAGCGTCAACGATGCAACGATGCGCTTCGGAGCATGGCACATTCCCGAGGAACTGTTGGTTCAATCAAAGGTGTTGCGGACCGTCTCTACCCACCCACCGAACTTGTCACAACTTTGCCTCCGTTGGGTGTTCGGATTCGTGGCCCAGCACACGTAGACGACTGAAAAGCCCACTTCATGAACGTTGTGGTGGGGCATTATTTGCTGCGACAAAGAGATCAAAACAAATCGGAAGTGAACTTGAAGGGACTGAAATCCTTTCAGCAGCCGTCAGCGCAACGCAAAGATCCTGTCATGAACCCCGCATCAATCTCCTGCACTGATGACTGAACTCTAGAATTAGCAAACTCCCTCAACTGCGCAATCTTTGAACTTGGAATAGCAAACCTACTCATGATTAAGGGTAGTCCACTGCTAAGTACCATATAGACATAATGTTTGGTTGCACTGCTATGCAGTGTAAGCACTGACTCGCCCCAGAGCCCCTGGAGTTAATGGGCAAACCTGACCCTCTTCGTCTGAGGTTTTTCCCTCAACTTCCCTTAAGTCCCCTCATAAAGTCTGAAGACCGCTATCTGGGCCTTGAGGGTCTCCTGCTCGTGTCTCAGGAAGTCCTGGCCGCGCGACAAAGTGACCCTCATCGCCTAGGGTAGGTTGAGGTGCAACGAACGGAAGTGAGAAGGGAATTGGGGAACTCACTTCTTTCCACAATAGGCAGAGGAGAGCAGTGCCAGCAGACTTGCATTACAACCCTGCAGGAAACTGAAAAAGGCGCTTCCGGAGACAAAACTGAAGGAATCGATTTCAGATGCGAAGCCTACGAGGCAGAGGATAACCTGTCGCAGTCCTTGAGCTTCTTGAGGTCGCTCTCATTCCTTTCGAAAGCAACTAGGCACAGGAAGACTTGCAAGAAGCTGCAGAAGCTGCAGAAGCCTTGACATGTTCAAAGTCTCACTTCATCACCCCTGACCCATGACTTGGCCGAGGCTCTGCGTCGAGAGCGTATGAATCTGATGGACGATGCTGTCCATGCCTATGTTGCCTGGTGCACAAGAAGGCTGTCGAGCACATCCATGCCGCGCAAGCTGAAACCCCAAAGCTTGCAAAACAACACGAACCAAGAAAAACAACGAGACAACCTACAGCCCCAAGGAAGGGTCCGTACTCCTTGAAACTCGAAAACAATGAACTCGTGTGCCGCCCGGGCACTGCTTGGAGGACCGACCCTGGTGCCTCCTTGGCCATCGCTCCGCCCCGACTGCACTTCGGGGGGGCACAAACAGCTGCAAGATGCACGGGGAGGGGCCTTTCTCCTATTTTTTGGAGTCCCTCTTTGGGTCTAGTTACTTCTCTCACGGTGGAGGCCACGTGGGACCCACAGACTCGGGGGGGAGGTTGCAGTTCAACCACTTCAACATATGTCAACCATGTTCTGCCAGGTGGTTGGTTTGACATGATACGAAAAACTCGATTTCGGATGCTGGCACGAATCGAAGAGTCGGAATCCCGAGTCTTGCAAGATATGAAGCCAGCCCGTGCTATTTGCAGCCTGAGGTGTTGGGTGCGGTTTTCAGGCCCTAAACCCTGCCTACAAAGTAGACATGACCCTACATACGAAGTAGACATGTTTGAGGCTGTGTCAGGCCAAGGCGGCAATACATTTAGCCAGCCTCGAATACTGCATTTGGGCATGTTCCTCTTTATTCGGGCCAAGAAAGGCATGAATCATGTCTATGTTTTTGGGTTCAGATTCATGGTGCTACGTGACGACCTATGAAGGGGCCAGCACTGACGAGGTTTAGGGTAACCCTAAACGCCTGTCGAATTTTGGGTCGCGTTGTGGTTTCACGCCGTTTTCCTTCTCTATCTTAAGCTTCAGATGCAAGGGCGTGCGCACGCAGAATGCTACGGCTCTCTGCGAAGAAGATGCGCTGCCAAGCACATGTCGCCACAATTTCCCCACCTACGGCGCAACGCGCCCATGATGCGAAGATAGTGCTTGTCACCTAAGGTAACGTTCGACATTCCACACAAACTACTAATTGACTTTCTCACCTACTCGCTCTGACTCGTTGATTGACTCGCGGATTCCCGTAGAGGGGCACTCTTATGACGCTATCGACGCTTTGACTTGCGCTGCAGCTTGCGCAAGCGACTCGGCTTCGACGTGCTCAGACCAAGAGATAAACCAAATCACAACGGAAGCACGAGCTCGCGAAGCTGTCCGAACAGCAACAGGCCGCGACTGCTTCACTACGAGAAATTGGACCAGCGATTGTCAACTGCCGCCCGATGGGCATCGTTGCTGAGTGCCAGTATCGTGAGTTTGCTGACCCGGGTCGTCCCTGCGAAACCCCCGCCGTTCCTGGCTGGGCAAAGGCTTGCCCTTGTTTGCCCGGGCGTACATGCTCCTCCCACAGGTTGGGACAGTGTGCGCTGGCACTGCCGCTTGAGCAGAGGAAGCACGATCACCAGCACAGCTTAAGTGCACGGCTGAACAACAAGAATGATTGGAGACTGTCCAGATTGGTTTCTGGCTCAGACCGAAATCGCAGCCATGTATGCTGACGATATCAGTGCTTCGGCTCCCTGTGGAATCTGTTTCAAGCGCTTGCGTAAGTTACCATACCCTCATGGAACAAATTTGGCTCGGAACATTCTTAAAACAAAACCTTGCCCTCACAAATCCCAATACCCCAAGTCCAAGTCAAAGAAATCATGGCCTCTTGAAGGTCCAAATCGTAGTCGTCGAATTGTATCTCCGAGGCCACCCAAGACTTGTAAGCTTGACAGTGAGTGGTGCGCGTGTTTGGGTGTGTGCGTGCGTGTGGGTGTGTGTGACACGCCTGGCGCTGTCAGGGCTGGCAGGCTTACAGCCATCTCGAATTCGAAGTGACTCCACTCTATGGCCAGATTGAGAGCCTGCCATCCCTTGGAGGAGCTGCAAACCGATGCAGTGGCGGGGTCATGTCTGTGGGCGGCGACAGAGGTGCATAGTCTGCATGGTGCTATGCTTCAGGTGACTCGTTCATGACCGGGCGGCGGTGTCGGAAAGCTGGGAAGACGTGGGCGTTGTCTGCTCCACCAGCTGCCTGAGCGACGCTCTGGATGAGGGAGCAGGAACTACAGCAGCAAGGCTTGGCGGTCTTTGGGGTACGGTAGGGGGGTTTCGGGGTTTGGGATTCGGTTCAGCCTCAAACTCTCAAACCACTGAAAGCTCAACGCACTGGTTCAGCAACTTAGTTGAGAGGGTGTTTTGAACAATGCAATGGCAGTACTTGCAAGCGAGCTGCGAAGCGGTAAACACACTGAGGTGGCTGTAGAATCCTTGGGTCCGCAAGTTTGAGAGTGGCATTTGGAGACGTGGGCTTGGGCTTTAAACTGGCATCAATGAAGAATCGCTTATTTGGGGACTTTTTGACATAAGGGTAACTCTAAACAATACGTCTGTCGGGACTTAAGGTGTCGTCGGCTCAGGTGAACGAATCATTTTTGCCGCGCAACCAGCGGCTGCTCTGCCGACAGGTTCGTCTCCACACCCGGCGCGTAGATGTCCTGCAAGGGGCGTGCCGACAACCTTTGCATTGCCCGCTACGCGTGCCCAAGTCGCTTTCGTCTGCTGTGCTTTGTGGGGGAAAGCAAAACCTTATAGGGATTACAGGGCATGTCCACGATTCCACTGAATTCCACTTACACTTCAACACACGCCCCGTAGCAGAGAACTGCTGGCATGGCATTGACAAGTGGGCGACTGATGCAGCAGACATCAAGTGCCATCAAAAGCGTTTTGTGTGGAAAAGAGGCATTTTGAGAGCCAGGGTCTCTTAAGCCCACGAAAGACACACTTCCTCTGACCCCTTCGTTTTGGTGCCCCCCTGTGCCTCACGGATCTGAGACCGGCCCGTGGCAGCAGAATCCATTGCCAAAAAGGCCCGGTACAGAAGCACCCGACCTTGGGGTGTTCGAGTGTGGGGCGATGCTGCTTTTGGGTGTTGGAACCGTTGGGACTCTGGGGCACCGTAGGGCCGTACGGCAGTGTATGTGAGAAGGGCGAGGTTTGAGGACCCGAGGGTTCGGGGGTTCCGCAGACATATGTGCCCAGTCACTTGCGTCTGGAGGCGGTGACCAGCTCACACGTCCTATACCTGCAGAGCAGTTTGCAACGAGCCGCTACTGGTAGCGAAAGACCTATGCTGCATGCGACCAATGCTGCTTCTTTCCGACGCCAGGACTCGTCCTTGACACTCAGGTCGTGGCCAGATCCCCCTCCCGGCTCCCTCGATACGGCACAAAGGAGCCGCCGACCTGGGGAACGGAACTCGAACCTCGCTTTGTTTATGCTTTAAGCTTTGTTATGCTTTAAGTGTGTTGCTTTAAGTGTGTTGCTTTCTGAATACTTTGTATTTTTGGAAAAAGGGCTCATCGAGGCTCCACCTCCCAGGACCCGTGCTGCCTCAGAGAAGTCCCGCTGCGGGGCCTCTGGGGCAAAAGGATATGACAGAAGCAGGGGCTTTAAAGTTTGCTAAAGTTGTTCAGAGAATTCGGAAAGAAAGTAAAAAAGAGAACGGCGACCGGCTACACTATGGGCCCAGCGCATGGCATCATGGCCGCGATGCGCCGCCACAGCCGCTTCTGCTTGGTGGCCGCCTTGCAGCAAACCGCTTCTGTTTCCCCTTGGTTTTTTGGAAGCTCTCTGCACCTCGAGTTGCATTTTCAGGTCGTCCTGCTGTCCCATGGTGTACCTCGCAAAGGACAAGAAAACAAAGCTAACAAAGCATCACTTCATATACAAGTTCGAATTATTGCGCTCTCGGGTAGCTGCATGGAGCCTCGTCGCCGGGCCGTCTTGAACTTGTCGAAGCGCTTCGCCACGGCCTCTGCCAACAAAGCAAAACAAGCCACCTGCAAATCACGAGGAGACGCAAGATTCAGCACTTCCCTGGCAGCATTTCCTTGGATTGGAGCTCAGGGGACTAGCCGGCTCGTAAGGAGAAGTCATGTCCGCAACGGCTTTTGCTCTCCCGCACGCAGGCTCAGTTAGTTCTCTTCCAGCTACTTGATGAGGATGACACGTGCATGGCAAATGCCGTGAGCACTGCGTCGACTGTGTCGAACTGACGCAAAGTTGAGCGAAGGCTCTATCAGCGAAAGCGCGTTTGGTAGAAAGTGGCAGCGGCACAGCGGCACACGCATGCGTGCACACACTTGTTGTGCGAGCATCTGAGAAGTCTACCAGCTTGCAGTAGCACCCTTCAATTTTCCGGATGTTGACTGCCCCTCTCCTCAACCAGTTGTTGAGGCATAGCCCATCGCAACATATCAGCCCTGCACACCGACATCTTTGAGAAAGATGCTGATGTTGTGCCTTGCCAGCAGGCGCAAAGCCAACGCTGCAGCGTGGATCCCGCGGATCTTGGCTGTGGACAGTGTGACATTGTCGATGGTGGCTTCGAAAGTCGAAGCGTTGGCTTTGACTTCCGTTCGGTTCCCACTGACTGTGTCCAAGTGATCGGCCAGCAGGCCGGCAGGAAGCTGCTTGGAGCGAAGATTGGAGGGGATGGCAGCGGCTACAGCGGATTGAAGCTCCAAGTATGCAACAAACGCGGTGGCCGGCTTCTGCCAGCCACAAAGCCTCAAGGCCAGCGCAATCTGTGCTGCCTGCTGGATGCCTTTTGCGAAAGTCCCCCATCCAACTTGCAACTTTACCTCGCCATGAACAAGCTCACACCCCATCAGCGGCAAGGTGGCCAAATTGACCTCGACATCCTGGCTTGCAAGTGGGGTGCAGGACAAAACCTGCACCAAAGAAGCGGCAACAAAGACTGAGAAACGAGTTATCCTGTCTGCCCACCTTGTAGAAATCGATCTTCACATTCTGCAGTTGCGGAAAGATATCGCCCAGAACTGATCCCACTCGGTTGTACAGCTGTACTTCTAGAATTGGACCCAAAAGGGATCGCAACTTGGCGATGTCGCCTTTGACATCGTTGCGCATCTTTTCTTGTTCTTGTTTGACAAGTTCGACATCTTTACGCATCTTTTCTTGTTCCCGCAGAACATCCGAAATGCCCAAGAAGTCCCGCACAGAGCGGCGCATGTCATCTGCAAAGCTGGACCTAGAAACGCTGACCTTCCGGCTGTAGCCTTTTGCCGGCACACCAGCGAACAGTGTTCCCGGCCATGCGGGATGGAACGCCAGCAACGTCCAGACAAGCAGCCACCAGCGGCCCGTGGTCTGCGCAATCGCCATGCTTCAGCGGCAAGAACATCTAGCCGAGATCTAGCCTAGATCTAGCTGGTTTTGTTAAATCATGTTGTCGAACCTGTTTGCGTGACATCGATGGGATCTCGGGTTCGAGTTTGGGGTGGAGGTCTCTTTGTGCAACATGTTCTGCCTGAGCACATGCATGACTGCTAACGGCAGCCAACGGCAGCGCGTGCAGGTCTGTGTTGCCTTGCGCATTTTTGACATATAGTGACCTGCGCTTTACGGCAAACCTGGTCAACTGAGCGCACGCTAAGCCCCCATAAACCCGCATAAACCCTTATAAACCCTCAATGGCAACGCGAACATCGCACAGGCCCGTCGCATCTGTCGTATCGCATCTTGAATGGAGTCCACCAGAACGAGAGCAATGCTGAGTGAAGGAAGAGACTATACTGGGCCATAGTGGGTTCCCAACCGTTTCTGGCTGGGCAAAGGCTTGCCCTTGTTTTTGCCTGCGCGTACATGCTCCTCGCACTGGATGGGACAGTGCGCACTGGCACTGCCGCTTGAGCAGAGGAAGTACGATCACCAGTACTGCTTAAGTGTACGACAGAACAACAGGAATGATTGGAGACTGGCCAGATTGGTTTCTGGCTCAGACCGAAATCGCGGCCATGTATGCTGATGATATCAGTGTTTCGGTTCCCTGTGGAATCTGTTTCAAGCGCTTGCGTAAGTTACCACACATGTTGGTATATTATGGATCGTAAGCTGTGTGCAAAAGCTGCGCTCAAGGCACGATGGAATACATGCAAGGGTGGGATTCGAGTAGCTCTTCTCGGACTCTGCTCTTCAACCGTTCAACCCCCTAAACCGAGGCCGGGGTGTATGACAGGCAACAGCACTGGGCAGCGAAAAGGGCCCGGCCAGGGGTGAGCACTTTGGATGGGCAAGTCGCCTCCTGCGCACGCCCCTCCTACTCTTGAGATCGCATCCAAAGGACGTTTCAAACCACGGGGACACCCTGAGCCCGCAGCATCCACACGAGCATCACGAGGTGCGGGACGGACCCCTTGCCGCGTGGCCCCAATCCAAAGCTCACATGATCAAGTCCTTGCACATGAGTGATACGTGCGATCCTACAACATGGTTTCTGCTTGGTGCGAAGGGCTTAGGAAGTAGGTCGGCTAGATTCACGACAGTAATCAGCGACAAAAACAAACTCCAAACCAGGAGGGCCTCTGAAAATGATCGGCCCCTCCCCAAATGTCATCCTGAAGGGCCAGCTTTCAGCCATGAAGGCTCAGGTGTGTGGTTTAGGGAGATGCTTCGAGGGCGAAGGCTTCTATAAAGGGTCAGGCTACAGCACCGAGCTGAGTTTGGCAACTTCACTCACTTTCGCGGACCTTCTGTCAAGAAATCTTTTAAGCTGCATTAAAACCCTCGCTAGCAGATGTGTAAACAGCACGTAACCTAATTTCAAGGCCTGATATGCAAAGCGAGGCAGGTGGACAACAGATGCGCTTGAAAAGAGGAAGGTGCACAACATGTAGACCAACATGTGGAGGCAAGGCGTGCAGAGCAAATCCCCGAGCAAGCCATACGCATGAGACTCGCATCATGTGCATATTGCAGATAGCTTAGAGCAGGATGCTCGGAGCCAAAATGTGGTGCAGGGAATCAAAGAGAATAGCGATGCAAACGATGCAAAAACACAACCAAGGTCAAAACAAGGCGAGGCTCTGGGGCATTTACACAGCAATCAACAACAGGATTGACAAGAACAAGTTCCTCATCTATTTACAAAGGCGCACATGACAAAGGCACTGCAGACATTGATTGCCTGAGAAGCCACACCAGAAACGTTGCTGGAAACGATTGTTTGTGTCCTTTGTGGCTCCATGTGAGGGTTTTGGGCTTTCGCACATCATGATGTGGGGAACCTCTCCGATCAACCTCTGAAAAGGCCCTCAATGCCACGCATGTACTGCTCGGAATGACGATCGTGTGGCAATGACGATCCTGTGGCAGCCCTCCCCTGGCTCCCCGACCAGTCAGCCACCGTAGAAGAGAAACAAACGCACAGACTCGCATGAGAATCCTCTGCGTGCCCCGGTTCACGTTCCCTGCGTTGCATGCCCTGCAAGAAACAATTTGCTTCAGAACTGCAGCTGCTTGGGGCTTTGGCGAAAGAGGGACGCGTCGACATCAGCAAGAGCAAAGGATAGCCAAGGCCTTGTTTTTCAGAGCTGCACACAGCTTCGAGGCCTATATGCACTGAATCTGAATTTGAACCCAAGTTTGACTATGCCGCAGTCTGAGAACCGGGCCGCCGGGCAGCTGTCTGCAGTGAGCTTGTCAATCAAATTTGTTGCTGAATGTGGCAGTCGGAGCCGCAGCGCTGGAGCTTGCAACACACAGGGAAGCGAGCTCTAGGTGCAGGATGGTGCAGGATGGTGCAGGGGCGGGGTGTGCACGCAGAAGGCGAGGGCTCTCTGCGAAGATACAGAGCGAGAAAAAAAGAAACCGGCGAGGAGTCAAGTTGTGACCGGGTTCAGCGCTTGGAACATTTGATGTGGTTCCGATTGCAGAGTCGGGATATCGGGGCGACATTTAGGAGAGCTAAGGTATAGGCCAGTAGGCCCAGAGCACTTTGGAGTTTTGGGAATCCTTTTGCACGAGGCTCTCTGAGATCCCTTAAGGACGTCTCTCGTCACGACGCTCGTCTGCCGTGCTAATGGCTCGTTTGAGCTCATGCTGCGTCAGACTCGTCTCACCTCGACTCCCAAGACATGGAGCGTACAAAGTCGCACAAAGGGTCGCAAAGTCGCTACAGACAAGAAAAACGCGCCAACAGCCTCGGTGCAATGGCCGCCAAGTCAGAGTCGCAGGTGGGGACCTTATCTCTCGGGCATCCAAGAACGCGAAGCGTCCTTTTCGATGGCTTAGCTTCGGGCAGTAGGGCGTCTTCGTCTTGTGCATGTGATCCACGAACAAGCAAACATCACCTAAGACAAAAGGCAGCGCGAAAGCAGCGAAATCATCTGCGGCAGGGGCCACAGGAGACTCAATGTGCTACAGCCTGCTACAATGTTGCTGCATATGTCTCCGCATGCTTCCTGCACTTGGGCAGCGGCAGGACTGCTTGCCGAACTTGTCCACTGGCTTATCGGCCTGGGCCAACTTGGCTCCCAGCTCGGCAACTTCTGAGAACTCAAAGGGCAGACAAGGGCAGGGCCGTCTTCCATCTTGAGCCGTACATTTGGTTGCATGTCATTGGAACAACGAAGTCGCCTCAGGAAGCACAAAAGCATACAAAAGCACTACCGCAACGAGCTCTGTCTGACCAGTTAACAGAGGCACACGCGCGTCGCCCGCGCTACCGCTTTCTCCGCAGCTGAAGACAACCTCTTAATGGAGGCTTTTTCTGGCTCTCTCAATGGCGCCACACCGAAGGTAGGCAGCTCTCTCCGTCGCACATGCGGTGCGCCGTGCGCCACATGCGGTGCGCCATGCTGCGCCTCTTCTCCGTCGCCTGGCGTCCTCCGCTCAAACGAGACAGCAATAAACCCATCTTAAAACGGAGATTTCAAGTTTAGGAGAGCAGAACGTCGAGCATGGTTCCACTCTACGCCGTGCTACCCTATCTTCACACACACGTCACTTAAACGGAGTCATCTTGCCTTGGGGTACACGCACAGACTACACGTAGTCACGGGTCCCGTGTTCTAAGTGTTGAAAGGACTGGGCATTGAGTCTTTGACCTGCACAAGTCCTGCTGCCACGAGCGTGCTCTCTGGGAGGTCAATGGAGGTGACGGTGCCTAAAACCTAGGACTGGCCGAGGCAACTGATGGCAACTGAACACCTTGCCGATGCCCAACTCCTTATCACTACTTGCCTGCATTGCACAAGCCTGCACCGTGGCACAATGTCTGCTTTGCCACCTACGCCCAATGCCCAACAAACCCTGAACCAAAACATGGAGTACTAATTGCGGATGGCTCGTCGCTGCTCTGCACACGGCTCCTCTGAGCATCTTTCTTGCAGCTGGGCTGCCCGTGCGGCTTCCCGCACTCCCTCCTCCGTAAGCATGCCTGCAGCTGGGCTTTAATTGGGGAAGTTAGTTTGGGTATTTCACTGTTGAGAGCTTTCAGGGTTTGGGTATGTTTGGGTCTCGTACTTCGCGCAGAACAGATATCGCGGCAAGGCTTCACCTGTAGAGCCAGCGCCAAGGAGAGCCCCCGCAGCACTTTGAGGTTTACAATGACATACAAAAGCCAAGTAGGCCAAGCTTGCACGGAGGTTCCAAGGCTTACACAAATCCGGCCCGGCGCTACCCCAGAACGCCTCTGGAGCTTGAAGTGCAAGCATTGAGCTTCTGGCCGCCAATCAGATATCGAGGGCTTACGGAGCTTTACGGTACCCAAGACCCGAGCTCCTCAACTCAACGCGAACACCACAGAGAAAACGCAACCCCCCATCCCGCACCCGTGAAAGAAAACGTGTGAGGGCCGGGCAAGGTGAGGTCAGAGAGCGACCCAACTCCGGTGCTCCTGCTGCGAGCCCAGGCTGTGGCGGCTAGATTTTTGTTTCTGCGGTGGCATCGATATGGTTTTGCAGGGACCCAAGTTAGTGGCGCGGAGGTATCGAGCAGGTATTGCCAGATTATTGCGCAGGTCTCACGATGACCACGTCACTCCAAATCCCCTACCTTCATTCTAACCCACTCAACTCCGTTCCATTCCCGCCCCACTGATGACAAAACCGTCGTGCACACTTAATTGAAATTCAGCTTCTACTGTGAAATTCCCTTCCGCACTTGTAAGAAGTACCCCATTGATCTTCAATTTTCCTGAATGCATCCCAGGCTTTGACAAGGATCAGCGTACAAGGATCAGCGTACGTCGTAGTCATCGGGGTTCAGGGAGTCAGCCTTTGCTCATGCGTTCACATCCCTTCACCGAAAATTCCGCCTAAAGGCACTCCTGGTCTCGGTGGAGGAGGAGCGAGGTCTGTCGAAGATAGCTTGGAAGCCTTCCTGGCGCAATGGTTCCGGATGGTTTTGGAGCATTCCTCGGGTTAACGGGGATTCGTCTGCGTGGGGGTGAACGGCTGAGGTTGAAGCTTGAAGACCCAGTCCCAATCGCCTGCAGAAGGCTATTCGGCACCAGAGCAACCGTTTCCATTCACCTCTCGGCACATCTCTCGGCCCTTTGCGATGGCCCTACTTTTACTCAATAACCTTCAACCTACCGTGGAATGCCGTGTTGGCCTTCCGCGTGCACTCTTTGGTGCACGAGCTCGGACTTTGCGAGCGGTTGCGCTTGAGCAGCGCTGGGTGTCGTCATCTTCTGGAAGCCGTCATGTATGCCTGCGAGCTCAAACCTACAAGGCCCCCCTGTCTTGCGCCAAGCAGGATTTCCGGGCAATTGCTGTACTCTGCCGCGCCTTCTGGTACTCTTCAGCCTGAGGGGCTGCATGACTGGAACCATTGCTGGGCAACCGTTGCTGGGCAACCATTGCTGGGCAACCATTGTTGGGCAACCATTGTTGGGCGAGCGCTTCGAGACATGCTGTTTGAGAGGCTCCTTCGGGTCCCTCTTCACGTTGAAGTCCTCCAACTGCTGGAAGGCCTCCGCGCTCTGCAAAAGCTGTGGTTTCAGGAAAGGTTCCATTATCAGGGGCCCAACTCTCCCAACTCTCTTCAGAAATGACTGCCGACACTCGCTGAGGACCTGAAGACACCTCTTTCATGTCCCGAACGGGTCTTGGGACATTGGCGCCTTCTGCTTGTCCAAGACTCGGCGGATGCCCGGAGGGTACCGTCCCCGGCAGTGCCAGCTGCCTGCCGAGGCCCAAGCGATCCAAAAAGCGCACATGAACAATCAAGAACAACAAGAAAGCAGCTCTTCCCTTTTCTTTTCTCACGGCTCTGTCACCCACAAGCATGGCCCCAAATCACCGCAAGTCCCGCATGATGTACATATATGCTACATGCTTTCAGCATGGCCACCCCCCCCCCCTCATGGCAAAAGCAGCGGCAGAACCTTGGACGCGCTGTGCATTCTCGAGCTCATCTCGTACGGCAAAGCTGCCGAACTGTTGTCACATCCAGAGCTGATGAAAGTGTGGATGTGCTGCAAATCTTTTTCAGCTGGCCTTGAACGGTACTGCTGCCGTCACCCACCGCCAGCACACACCAGATCAGAGCGAAGCACAGCAAAGGCAGCTAAAGCTGCCGTTGATCTAAATGGTGCTTGATGTGTGAATCATAAGCATGCTTTTCAAACCCGTTGAACATTGCCGTTGCTGTCCCATGAGATTTTTCATTTCCGGCATCCCCCACCATTGGAAACATGGCGCGGCCTCGTTTTCTTGAAATCGGAGCCAAAGCCACATCTCACACCACATGGGGGTGGCCCAGTGATGCTCTGTGGCGTGATAGAGCTTCATTGAGTAGAGGGCACAAATGCAATGGCACGGATTAGCCTAGTGGGCAGGTTTTCACACCCCTAAAGAAAAAGCAGCGAAGAGCGGAAGAAACACCCGAAAAGCACGAGAGCAACCCAGAGCCGCACACGCTGAGCAGTGCCTTGTGTGGCACATGGAAGGGTGCGGCTGTCAGGCACCAGCTCCGTTGCGTCAAAACTATATAACGATTTAACTTTAAGTGATGAGCACTTCAAGGACTTGGGGTGGTGAAAAGCCTGCCTGGGGCATCGCAGTTCCAATTCAGGGGATCTGCCACCCACTCTTTGGACTCCTCTGACACGTTCAGCACCTTCGCTCGAGGCTCTATGCTTCTCGGGGCGAGAAAAAAAAAGATCATCTGGGAACCCAAGGACCTGCAACCCCTGGCCTTGAAGATGCGCACCAGCCCACGTTGACTCGTGTACGCTTCCTCGAAGAGCCGCGCGTCTACCTCCCGAGGCGAGTGATGCTGAGATGTTGGGACTGGCGACCGACATGAAGAGTAAACTGAAAACTGCTGGCCTGGATGTTCTCCACCTGCCCATGTGAATGCCTTCAGATCACACTTACATATCTACGAGCACGGCAAGAGCCCTTGAAAACGCCTCCGGCAAGGCAACTGCAACACATGCAGCAATGAAAAGGAGCCTGGGGGCAACGAAGAATGAGCAATCAGGCAACCCCTGCGCACCCCCGCGTCAGCCGTGTGAGCAAGGTTTTCAGGTGTCATTGATCCCAGAGAATGAGACCATTAGATTGGCGACATTGATAGTGAAGAAGGACTAGGTGAAGCACAGGATCGCAGTGGAAATCCGGTGAAGCCCAGCGACAGCTTCCACAGCAGGGAGTTGTTCATCTGCTCCTGAAAACTGGGGGGAACGCAAGGGAAGAAACCATGCAGGGACTGGGACGATGAGCCAACGGGCCGAGCTGCACTGGGCAGCTTCGTCTTCCGGTCCAGGTGGAAGGCCTTGCACAGAGGGTCGCCCGGGCAGACGTCGCCGTACACCTGCACATCCACGTCCGGGCAAGAAAGAAGATGTGGTTGTGATTGTTTGTCTCAGGAGTCTCAGGAGAAAGAGAGACGGAGGAGGACAAGGGAGCGATCGCACTCGGAGTGTTGCGCCATGTTTGCTTCAGAGGGGCCGAGTTGGCGATCCGCGCCATGTGCGGCGACTTCGCAACATCATCCCCGCCTCTCGCTTTTAGACACGTACACCCCCGTAGTTCCTTCTGAGTCACAGGAGCAGACTGCATCACACGCAAAGTGAAGCCAGTCAAAAGCCACGCCTCCCCAGATGAGCACGAAATCTGCCAAATGGCGGATCACCTGCCACGATGCGCACAACGCGCTCCGAGCGCAGCTGGGCGCTCAGGATCCTGCGCCTCGTGAGACTCTTTCTCCGGACCTGCCAGGGCATTGACGGGGCGCTCTACGAACACCTGTGATGCCTCGCTCCCACGCAGCTGATCTCACGACCTTGTCACTCGCGGACCCTAGCCCATGATAACCATTTGCCCCTACCATTCCCCCCTTTTTCCCGGGGCTCCTGTCAAGCAGCGGCCCAGCAATGCGATGTGCTCATGGTTCCAGGTGTTCCCATCTGCCAAGGTGGTGCCTCGGGGAGCTCCTCTGCAGTTCCTCTGCAGTTCCTCTGTGCTCCCTTCCTCTGCTCCCTTTGCTTCCTCCAAGCGCACTTCTCACAATCTCGGCCTGGGCTCCGAGCGATTGGCCAACCCATTGATTTGGTAGCCATAGTCCCACCAAGCCATGACCCGGGCATCCGGCCTCACTTCATTTTAACCAAAGAAAAGAAGGAGCTCCCGAACTGCTCTCGCCTGTGCGATGCTTCTGGGAGCCAAGCGGGGTCTGGTCCCGCAGCCACCAATAAGCCTGCGCATACTTTAAGCTTCACCTGCACTATCAATGATCGCATGCGCTAGCTATTGATGGGTAGACTCCGGCTACACACCGCATCAACAAACGCGGCAGACTACTGCGCGGAGGGAAACCGCACCTCTCGGTAGTCATCCACCAGCACCTCCTGGAAGATTCGGGGATCTTCGAAGGACGTGGCTGCTGAGAGGTACAAGGGGACTCATGGAGACCCTGTCTCGCGGAGCTGCGAAACAACGAAGCGCATGCTAGCTGGCCTGCAGGGTATTGAAGCCCAAACCGGAAGTTGCTCAGGCAACACACTTGTGGCACAACTTTGTGTGATGCGAATCACCCCGCCCAATCCCCCATCAAAGTACAGCGCCCTGCAGGGGCCTGGCCCATATTTCTTCACTCTAAGGAAGCCCATAAGTTGTTCCAAGGAGTTCAAAGAGCCAAATTCGGTGGCAAACGTTTGGACCTCGTGCATACGACATCCCCCTCGCTTGCTTGGATTCTGTATAGTTCGGGTGACGCGGAGCTTCCTCGTCGCCCTGGCGCAGCTTCTTGATGATGGAGGGCTGCGACCTGACTCAGGGTTCGACTCTTGAGGTGCATCTACATCTTTGACGGTCGCAGAGTGAGTTGCCGGCAGGCGCTCCGCAACTGTCCAGCAGTAGCTGATAAACTCAAACCCACAGGCCAGGATCATCAGCATCAACAGGACCGCAGTGGCCTTCGCAAGGCGCATCCGCCAGACTCCCCGACACCCCCCGCGAGCAAGACAATGCGAGACAACCGCCTTCCGCTGCCAGATGGACTCTCGGTAGGCCTCTGGCAAGCAACAGCATTCACGAAAGCCGCCAAAACAGAACAGCGTCAACACTACTGATATTCGCCTGACCTCAAAAAACGCTGCTCATATCAGCGCCCGCTCGTCTTTGTGAGTGCCGGATGGGCAGCAGCAGTAGCAGGAGCGGCAGCAGCGGCAGTGGCGGCGGCGGCAGCGGCAGCGGCAGCAGCAGCAGCAGCAGCAGCAGCGGCGGCATCGCTACTGACCGCTGCCGCCACCGCCGGTGTGAGGATTGGGGGGCCTCTGGGAAGCCCTGGAAAGCCTCTTCGGAACCCTGTGAGGTTCGCAACAGGTCCGTTTTGGCAGAAGATTGCATGGCCTAGGCCAGCCGGACTGCCGAGGTGGCGCACGCAAGGATTTGCAGTAAACACATGTTTGCTTTACCGAAAACAACAAACAAGAATCTACAGGAGTCGAACAACAACCATGCCCATCATCCGGAGCCCCGGCCTCGCGCAGGGGCTGCGCCGCCTCCCGAAGCAGCTCCCGGAAGTCGCCGAAGCCTTGCACTCCCTCGGCTGCCCCACCTTTCGAGAGGGAAAGACGAAGGATGTGGGATGTGGGATGTAAAACACCCGATTAAACACATGCAACCTGCAAGAAGAGTGAAGAAACTCGGACATAAAAGAGCCGCGAACCTCGCCTTCTGCGCCTTCTGTGCCTTTGGCTTCCTCGCCTTCCCCCTGGCCGTCGCCACAAGGCACGCCGAGCTGCCGCAGCGCCCACCGTGCAGCCCAGGCGACGCCGACTCCCCCTCGAGAGTTTCTTGGGATGCTCTTTGTTTTGGGTATACAGCGTGTCAATAGCGTGTCATGAGGCCGCATACTTGCGTGCGGAGGATGTCATCACGCCGATGTTGGAACCCTGCAGTTGTGAGAAGGCCCACCTAGCGCTCCAGCAATGGGCCCGAGTAGCAGCACCAGCCTCGACACGCGCTTGCAGTAGCCACTGTTGCAGCCGCTTTCGCAGGCGCTTCTTTCACTTGCAACATGACGCTTCAAGCTCAACAGGGTTTAATGCCGAGTCACCGGTTCATTTTGGAAGAGAAGTAGTAGGTAACAGCCTAAGCGATCCGGCTGCAAGTCTACCTCGTGCACACCTCAGATCTCCAAATATCTCCATCGACCCGGAGGCAGGAGACTAGGCCAATGGCACCGTAGATGATGAGAAAGGCCTGCCCCATACCACACAAAACGGCCTTGCTCTCCCTGTCTTCCAATGTTCCCAACCCCACCCGGCATGACCCCAAGGATCACGACAGGAGGCTGGTGCTTCTGTTTTCCTCATCTTTTCCTTCTTTCTCCTCCCCGCCCCCGCCAAGCTCTGTCTGTGATCTTCGTGGAATTGTTTTTCACATTTTTTCTTGGGCCTTGGGACACCGCTCCCCAGGCGAGTTGTGCCTGGATGGGTTGAAACACATGCAAACCACAGGCCAATACGCGTATCTCCCTATATTCCGTTTAGTACGACCATTGGCAAAGCACCCTCATCTGCAAACATTACGGGTGTCCTTGGCTCGTTCGGGCAACTGCGTGATACCTCTATGTCGTTCTTGCCGAGAAGGCTGAGGTTGACCCCCCCCCCCGCTTTCGCTTGTGATCTGCACGCCCCAGTCTCAATCAAATGGCCCACAGGGAAAGCGGAGTGGAACGATGCGGCCACTAGGGAAAAAGCCTGCTTGGTTGGATCGCAAATGAGAGAACAGCATTATAATACAAATGAAGTGCGTGATAATAATCTGTGAACGAGTGAACGAAACCCGGGCCTTTTGCATGATGTTATGGCCCGGAAATATTGTATGACTTTAGTGTGTGAGAAGGCTAGAAAAATAGCATTATTTTATGAGGCCCTTTTCCTCACGTTCCGTTCGTACGCTCTTGCAATTGATGTTATTGCGCGCTCTCATAATATTATTTGTATTCACTTCTCTCTACACAATAAGTCATTCTAATAATGCGGCCGCAAAATATCTTCTTTGGGCCGCCAGCGAGCTGGTAATTTAAAGGATCTTCTAATGGTTTTACTACTAGCCCGTACAGATAATAGAGTAATAAATAAGAAAGCGAAGGAATGAAATCAATGAGCGTGCATTCGCTCTTTAACCACTCACGCTTTTTGTATGTTTACGGGCCAGAATGAATATAGTCTTTTGGCCCGTACACTCATATCTTTCTTCTAATCATTCCTGGGCGGATACTTCGGACCGGGCCTTGACGTCGTTGAGGCCGGCCAGGCAAACGACGAAGCCCAAAGGCGCCATGCTGCACATGTGGTGCAGAAACCTCGAAATCCAGAAACACGTTTCAAGGGTGTTTCGCTCAAGGAGAGGTGCACAGCACTACACTGTCAATGTGAAACGCCACGAACATCAGGAAAACGTCAAAAACTGTGATGCTTCTGGTGCTCTCAGGGCCAAGGCTGCCAGTAGGCTCGGGGGCTCGTTGCCTCCGAGGGGTCTCTTGTGCACTGCGCCCCCATGTTTTTAAGGCTTTGAAGAGGTCTCCGCCTGGTGCTCGGCTACCGAGTCTACCAGCGGATTCCCAGTACCTGCACAATGGAGGAGGGCAAGGACTTTTCGCAAACCAGCGAAACAAGACTGTGCATTTGGGCCAGCAGGTTGCGGTTTGGGACTTTTGGCCGATAGTCTGTCTCGCCCCATCCTTTGGCCAAGCACGTGAAGCTTTCCTTGTGGTGCCCACTTGATCCATACCATTGGGCTCAGAAAGGAGAGCATAGCGGGCCCTGTCACTTGCAGTCCTTTAGCTAGCACGTACATCGTGCAGAAGTTCTCGGGGCTTGAAACGGCAAACCTTTCAAATGAGGTGGTCAAGGCCTCGAAGCTTCTCTTCCGAGGCTCGGGCGGTGCTTCACGAAGAGGCCCCGCACTCGGCTGGAGAGGGGTGCCACGTAGCCCCACTTGAGAAGGACTGAGCGCCAAGCAAAGGGCTCTCTTCGTGGGTTGCTCGAAGCTTCTGGGGATTGACCATGCATCTCTTGCTCGCTCAAAATTTAAGGACCTGGCCAGATGCCAGCAGCGCTGCCAAAGCACCGACAGCAAGGAGGACCTCTGGCAGGGGGGCAACACAAGTGCAACGGAGTGAAAGCCCTGCACCGCCGAGCACCTGAAAGCGCAAGCGACGGAACTCCTGGCCAGGACACAGTGCTCCCATGTGCTCCCCCCCCCCGGCTGTCACGGCTCCGCCGCACTTTGCCTTGCCTCGTCACGCAGCTTCGATCTCCTTTCTCTTCAGGTTTCAGCGTTTCAGCGCCAAGGGCCGGCAAAAGACAGCATGGCATGGAAGGGGCTCTCCTTCGCCAGACGCTGAGGCACTTCAGGACCTGCGCCAAGCACATCTCGCATGTACATCTGTGCAGCACTGTAGCCTCCCTTGCACTCTTTTCGTGGCCGCATTGGCCCCCCCCCCTCTCCTTCACTTTTCTGGCACAGACCCACACGCACGCACGCGGACAGGGGCACCTTCTTTGGTCGACAGGGCGCGCCTGGAGGTAGAGGAAGACGAGGAGGGGCCCGGTCTGCTCCAGGCTCCTCCGAGCCAAACAAAGCAAAGGGCACAAGGGCGAAAGACAAGGGTTCGCGTAGGAAGGCGGTGCTTCAATCAATATGCGGACGATCGAAATGCCCGGATGCGGCCCCCCAGCCTCAGAGGTGTCCAGCCGACCACAGGGATCTGCACCTAGGGACTGGAATGGACTGGAGACGCCCGAGGCCGTGACTCACGCTTTATCGAGAACAAAGTCATGTGTCAGGTAGTCTTCCAGAGTGAAATGCTGATGTCCCTTGAGGAAAAATAGGGGGTGAAGGTCGTGTCGGGAAAACGAATCCAAAACAGGATGGACCGAGGCAGAAAACAACCAGAACCGAGTCAGAAAGCACGCCGGCGTGAGTCAGCAAACGGCACGAGTCAGAAAGCAGGACAACGAGCCAGAAAACCACTGGAAAACAAAAATGCAGCCAAATGCCCTAAACAGTTCAATCTTAACACCCTGAAACGTAAAGCCTTGGTCCCCTTTCAACCTGGCCCTCGCCCCAACCCCGCGCTTGCATATTGATCTTTAGCCTGTGCATAATTAGTTGCTTTGTAAAGAAGATCATTCCATGGAGAGACTTGCACTAAAAACATAAAAACCCCTTCCAAGCCCGTCATGCGAGCATTGTGGTTGCAAATGGAGGGGAGGGTTAAGCTCCCAACGCCCCTCCGCTTATTTCTTGTCAAACATGATACTGCAATACTTTGATATTGAAGGTGCGAACACTGTGTTTGCAAGGGGCGGGGGGGCCCCCCCGCCCCCAACTCCCCGCCAACTACTTCCTTTTTTGCATTCTGAACCCGTGCAAAGTCTTTTCTTGGAAGATATTTATGCATTGAATCATGCGAGCATCGCATTTGCAAAGCAAAGGACGGGGAAGGGGCGGGAAGGGGAACGGCGGGGAAGGGGGTGGAAGGGGAGAAGGGGGGGAAGGGGGCAAGGGGGAAACGGGGGAGGGGGGAGGGTCGATAGGTTTTTTTGCGGGTTTTCCTCGAGGGTTCAAGGCGTTTTCGACTCAGGGCCTTTTCTGTTCTCGACTCAGGCGGCATGACTCACGGGCGATTTTCCTGACTTGACCCTCGCTCTGGGCTTTCCGTCGTCTGAAGAATATGAAAAGATAGGCTGATTCACAGGCATTCCTTTGACTGGGCGACGATTTCCTTCGTGTAAGCCTCACGGAGGAAAGCATTGCGAGCATGTTCACTCCGAAGGAGCAAACCCTTCAGACAAAAGACACCCGATGAGTCGACAAGTGTGGTTTCTTCCGTCACCAGCCCAAGCGAGTACCCATTAGAGTATGGCATGTAAACATGCGTTGCTTCACATCAAGACAAATTATCTATCTGGTGGATTAACTTCTGGGGCTCATGACAGCTTTTCGTCGATTCAAGGAGTACTTAAGGATTCATGTTTGCAAGTGAGTCGCTGCCAAGCCCGTGCCCACCAGAAAGAGTGTGGTGTAAGCACCTGCGAACTTGCCACAAAAAACTTCTCACACAGAGGGAACGCCCTGAGAACCATGTGCTGGGATGTGCTAAGCCAAGGCACAGTGCAGCCGAGCCGAGAAGTCCCACAGGGACCTCTTCCACCGCCCCAGAGAACGAGAGAAGACCGACAGCCACAGAACATAGAGATACAAAGCAAGTTGTAAGTCATTGTAAGTTATGCAATGCTGAACTCCAGCAGTGAACCGCCCTCTGAGTCTCTGAGGGCCGGTCAAGAGGCCCTCAGCATGTGGGCACCCAAACGCTCAGAACAAAACGGAACCCATCGCATCACGTTGTTTGGGCACTGGTTTGCAGCTGCGTGTCTGCGTGTAAGCCAAGGATGTTGATCACAAAAACATAGCCTGTCGCGGGAATCATTAGAGCGCGCAGCGGGAGGGCCGAGGCCCATGGCCTCCCCAGGAAGCCACCATGCCGAAGTAGGCCAGGCCTCACAAGGTTAGAGATCTGCGCCTGACAGCTTTTCTGGCCCTTCCGGCCCTTCCGGCCCTTCCGGCCCTTCCGGCCCTTCCGACACCTGCCGCGACTCCCCACGCAGCGCTCGCCCCCTGCAATGCTCGGCACCTGCACGAAAAGAAAAGGATGCCCTCAAAGATTCTTTGGGAGTGCTTCGAGTGCTTCGAGTGCATCAAAAGAGTACAGAGTAGTGCTTAAAAAGGTGAGAGGAGGCACCAGAAGTAGAAGGTGGCGTTCATGAAGGTGATGGCAACGCACTCCTGAACAAGAGCAGCTTCTCGGGCCCCCCCCCCCATAGTTCGCCCTTCCTAAACAACCCCACAGACACCCTAACAAGCCTCCCCTTATCCTCCCTTTTGTCCCTTTAAGCTCAACTGAACCAAGGCTCGTTGTCGAATCCACCAGCTACCTCCGCAAGAGTGCTTTCAAGAGCAGCCGCGACTTCCAGAACTCTTGCACACGGTTGTGGTATGAATTGGCTCCCTCATCAAGTCAGACGCGCTATTTCAAGGAAATTCTATGGCTTCCAATGGGTCCGAGCCGCCGATCGGACAAGATTGGCCTTGGTCTCAGGAATCTAAACAAAAATGAAAAAGAGGGAATATTGCACATGTCAACGTTTCACATGTATATGAAGGCTCGGAAACACCTGGCGCCTCGATCTTCATCTTGGATGTAAGCCGCCGGCGGGGATGATTGCGACGATGAAGGCGGCGCAAACTGCCGCATCGACCGACCTTGTGCCTCGCAGAGCTTTCGCAGAGCTTGATACGACAGACGACAGCTTGAGGATTTCGCCTTCTCGGACCAAAGAATGCTACAGAGTGATCTCTGCTTGCAGTCCAGGACACACTGGTAGGTGAGCAGGCCCAGAAAAATCGTAGAGGCAACCCCAAACCAGGCGGGCATGAACACACAGACCTGGGACCAAGCAGGCCATGGTGTAGTGTGAAACATGCGCGCCACGATCTCGGAAATGTCGAACACCAGAACAGCGTGACTTGTACGTGTGAGCGGCATCATGAAGCGTCATCTCCTCGCAGTCCGGAGTGCGCAGACGTGCAGCCTGTTTTGTGTTTTATTCGTGCGGCATCTTTAGAAAGGGGCACACACAAAGTCCTGGCCCGCAAAGATCAGGCAGCGCCAGATCCAAACAGCCATCTTGGCTGTCTTGCAGTGCATTTTGAATAGGGTCTGAGAAGGAGGCAGCCTGGTATAGTTTGGCTAAGGAACAAACTGCATGCCAGGGTAGATGGTGGTGCCGACGGGTCGTCCCAATGGGTACCACACTTGACTGTCATACCATCGAAAGAATGATGCCTTCGCCGGAAAGCCAGGACATCACAGTGTGCCTACAGTGCCTACATTCAACCCGATTCTACCCAGTCTGCCAAGCTGCTGCGCCGTTGGCCGCAAGGTACTCAGTGGCCCGATAATGGAACCAGGGATCCTGACGGCTTGAGACTGAAAACATGAAGATTTTCAAGCCGCCGACCGAGGAGCTCGCAAACTCGTGGATCACCCGCCCAAAGTTCCTGAAGGGCTCGCATCGTCCACCATGTCCCTCTCAACCACTTGTCAAGCCCTCCCTTAAAGCATCTTGAAATTCAGCGCCTTGCCTTGCAGCTTTGCAATTGCATGGCAACGCTTTGCAGCCAGGGCGCTGCACTGCAAACAGGCGGATGTGGTAGGCAGATGCCAGCGCCAGCAGAAGCGCATTAAGTCGAAAGATCACGAGCGCTGCATGGAGCAGGTCATGTGCCATGTGCGGCCATCAAGGAAGCAAAGGCCACACTTCTACTTGGCTTCAAATCATACAAATTATACAACATCTCACAACAAAATTGCCACAATTCCACCTGTGCTTCACAGTCCGCAGTGCTCTTACAAGATCACCTGTGGGTACTCCGTGCGGGATGCTGCTTCTTGAGCTCAATTGCCTGAAGACTACAATGTGGCTGCAACCCCTGTAGATGTCCCAGTCCCAGATACACGCACCAGGCGCCCACCTTGTTGCGCACTCCTGCCAGGCTGTAGAGGCAGATTAGCCCCTTTCCACAATGTCATGCACAGAGAGACACCTCCGCTGCATGGCTGAAGGGCACGGATTGCACCGCGGCTCCGGGCCCTCCCTTGAGGAGGGCGAATCTGAGCCCAAAAGCTCCCAGCCAAAGCATGTGGCGAGGAGCGTTTCATTTGTTCACTTTTGGTCAGAACTCTGAGATCGGGGTTCCACGGGTTACGGCAGCACACACACACACACAAATTACACCAGCGAAGACGCCAAACAGAATGCACAGAATCATACCGGTTCAAGATGGAATGCGTTGGAACCCAATCTGGCTTCGCCAGCAGATGCTGCGAAAAATGTTTAAGCCTTCGGCAGAACGAAGGGCCTCCTGCACAGGGTCTTGCTGCCGCACAAACCACGCACGGGAAAAACACATTTCCCGCAATTGTTACAACATTGCCGCATTGCAAAACAGGATACCTGGCCGTTGCTGCAGACGTTTGTGGAAAAAGCACAAATCAGCTTCGTATTCGGCTCGGGAAAAAAGTGGGAACTTTGCCGCCAATATTTGGCAAAAAACAGCAGGAAGGGACTTGTCGGCTTAGCAAAGCACACAACAAAAGACCTCTTTCCACGGAACCGTTGACGATTGTTTCCACAGACCGAACGACGGGCCTACTGCACAGGATCTTGCTGCCGCGCAAACCACGCACGGAAAAAACACACACATGTTCCCGCAACTCTTGCAAAATCACCGCATTGCGCGACAGGACACCTGGTCTTTGCTTCAGACGTTTGTGGTTTGTGGAAAAACCGCAAATGAGCTTGGTATTCGGTTCGGTTGGCTGTCGCGCGGGAAAAAGTGGGAACTTTGCCGCGACTATTTGGCCAAAACAAGCAGGAAGGGATTTGTCTGCTTACAAGGCAAAAAACAAGCTCTCTGTGTACATGGAACTGTTGACGATTTTTTCGCAAGCCGAACGAAGGGCCTCCTCCTGCACAGGATCTTGCTGCTGCACAAACCACGCACGGAAACAATGTACGTTTTTCCCGCAACTGCTACAACATTGCCGCATTGCGGCCTTTGCTTCAGACTCTTGTGGAAAAACGCAAATGAGCTTAGTATTCGGTTCGGCTGGCTGTCGCACGGGAAAAAGTGGGAACTTTGCCGCGAATATTTGGCAAAAGAAGCAGGAAGGGATTTGTCGGCTTTTAAGGCAAACAACAAGCTCTCTGTACACGGAAGCATTGACGATTGTTCCGCAGACCGAGTGAAGAACCTCCTGCACAGGAGGATCCTGTTGCAGCAGCAAGAATGCACGCAAAGAATGCACATTCTTCCCGCAACTGCTACAACATTGCCGCATTAAGCGAGACAGGATACCTGGCTGGGTACGTTTGTGGAAAAACCACAAATGAGCTTTTACAAAGCAAACAAAAAGCCTCTGTTACACGGAAACATTGGCCATTTTTCCCGCAAACGAAACGAAAGGCCTCCTGCAGAGGATCTTGCCGCCGCACAAACGACGCGCGAAAAAAAACACGTTTCTCCCGCAACTGTTACAACATTGCCGTGTTGCGAGACGAGATACCTGGCTGCATACGTCTGTGGAAAAAGCACAAATGAGCTTTTACAAAGCAAACAAAAAGCCTTCTTTACACGGAACCCTTGGCGATTGTTCGCGCAGACGAAACGAAGGGCCTGCTGCACAGGATCTTGCTGCCGCAACGGAACCGTTGGCGATTTTATCCGCAGACCGAACGAAGGGCCTCCTGCACAGGATCTTGCTGCCACCACGCGCGGAAAAAATCACATTTCTCCCGCAACGGTCGCAACTGTTACAACATTGCCGCAGTGTGAGACAGGATACTTGGCTGCATATGTTTGTGGAAAAAGTACAAATGAGCTTTTACAAACCAAACAAAAAGTCTTCTTTACACGGAACCGTTGGCGATTTTTCCCGCAGACGAAACGAAGGGCCTGCTGCACAGAATCTTGCTGCCGCAACGGAACTTTTGGCGATTTTATCCGCAGACCTAACGCAGGGCCTCTTGCACAGGATTTTGCTGCCGCACAAACCACGCGCGGAAAACATGCACATTTCTCCCGCAACTGTTACAACACTGCCGCATTGCAGGACAGGATATATACCTAGCTGCATACGTTTGTGGAAAAAGCACAAATGAGCTTTTACAAAGGAAACAAAAAGCCTTCTTTACACGGAACCGATGACGAGTTTTTCCACAGACCGAGCGCAGGGCCTCTTGCACAGGATCTTGCTGCCGCAGACACGCGCGGGCAAAATGCACATTTCTCCCGCAACTGTTACAACACTGCCGCATTGCAGGACAGGATATATACCTAGCTGCATACGTTTGTGGAAAAAGCACAAATTATCACAAATTAAATGAGCTTTTACAAACGAAACAAAAGGCCGGAACCGTTGGCGATTTTTTCCGCAGACCGAACGCAGGGCCTCTCGGGAAAAATGCACATTTCTCCCGCAACTGTGACAACACTGCCGCATTCCGAGACAGGATACCTAGCTGCATACGTTTGTGGAAACCGCACGCAGGGCCTCTTGCACAGGATCTTGCTGCCGCACACACCACGCACGGGAAAAACACATACTTTTCCCGCAATTGATACAACATTGCCGCATTGCAAGACAGGATACCTAGCTGCATACGTTTGTGGACAAAGCACAAATGAGCTTTTTGAAAGCAAACAAAAAGCCTTCTTGACACGGAACCGTTGACGATTTTTTCCGCAGACCGAACGCAGGGCCTCTTGCACAGGATCTTGCTGCCGCACACACCGCGCGCAGGAAAAATGCACATTTCTCCCGCAACTGTTACAACACTGCCGCATTGCGAGACAGGATACCTAGCTGCATTCGTTTGTCGAAAATGTTTCCGCAGACCGAACGCAGGGCCTCTAGCACAGGATCTTACTGCCGCACACACCACGCGCGGGAAAAATGCACATTTCTCCCGCAACTGTTACAACACTGCCACGTTGCGAGACAGGATACCTAGCTGCATACGTTTGTGGAAAAAGCACAAATGGGCGTTTACAAAGCAAACAAAGGGCCTTCTTTACACGGAACCGTTGACGATTTTTTCCGCAGACCGAACGCAGGGCCTCTTGCAGAGGATCTTGCTGCCGCACAATGCCCCCCCTTTCCCGCGGGGGGGGGAGTGGGGGGGGGTCTGAGGAGGAAAATGGACACTCTAGAGTGGTCAACAAAAATTTCCTGGAAGAGTGGGGTGGGGGGGGGAATCTCATCTGTATCATTCAGGAAGATGTTGAACATCTTTAAATCTTATGTATCATGTGTTCTCAAAGTATCCTAAAAACCCTACACCCTACAAATCGTAAACCCAAAAAACCCTAAACCCTAAACACCCTAAACCCTTCCGAGGCCGGCGCAAGTGAACAAATCAAAGGAATGCTTGGATGGGTTTGGGGAAGTGAGCGAGAGGTCCAGCCGAAGCAGTAAGTAGTAAGTAGTTAGTAATAGTAGTAGTAGTAGTAGTAGTAGTAGTAGTAGTAGTAATAGTAGTAGTAGTAGTAGTAGTAGTAGTAATAGTAGTAGTAGTAGTAGTAATAATAATAGCAGTAGTAGCAGTAGTGGTAGTAGTAGTAGTAGTAATAGTAGTAGTAATAGTAGTAGAAGTAGAAGTAGAAGTAGTAGTAGTAGTAGTAGTAGTAGTAGTAGTAGAAATAGTAGTAGTAGCAGTAGTAGTAGTAGTAGGAGAAGAAATAGTAACAATAATAGTAGTAGGAATAATAATCATAATAATAGTAGTAGTAGTAGTAGTAGTAGTAATAATATAATTAGTGTAATTAGTAGAAGCAGTACTAATAGTAGTAGTAGTAGTAGTAGTAGTAGTAGTAGGAGCAGTAGCAGTAGCGCAGTCACTCGGTCTGCCGATTGTTTCCTTGCTCCTCGCGCAAGTCCCTGATCACAGTGCCGCTCGATCCCGTTCGGATCGTACTCAAGAGCTCGCAAAACCTGCTGCACAGCTGTAGTACGTTAACAAGCACTATGGCGGGCGAGTTGCCTTCGGCTAATAGCTCAGCTACTGCTTTGAGCTACGACCTTTGAGACTGTCCACAGCTGCAGTCGAGTTGACGTGAAGCTGTACAAAAGCAAAAGCAAAAGACATGCAATTGCTACGTCACTGCATCACATGCTACAATGATGCTTGCTGCAAAATGCAACATCACAACGCACGAAGCGAGGGGACATGTCTCCATCACACAAGCACAGCCGCTTCCAGCAGCCCCGCATTTTAAAGAGACATGGATCCCCGACTCCGTGCAAACGGCGAAATCTAGACAAGCTAACCTACGGGCTACCACCTGCTCATATACGCGCTCAGCTCAGCTCGAGGATGCACGATCCGGCCCCTTGGGCGGTCCTTTCTCGCGACGCCTACGCCTCGGCTCGAAATCCAACTCGAACGATCCCACATGTCAGAGAACCAGGCCTTGTCGGTCTCTACGCGAGGATCTCCCTCGGCCTCTGCTGTTTCGTAGCGCATGACCATTTCAAAATTGCACCTACTGGCTCGGGTGTAGTTGTGCGACCCGGCGTAGATGCTCGTGGTTGGTCCACGGTCCACTAGAAGTGTTTTTGCGCGGAGCGCGCCGGACCAACCCGTTTGTCGGGGGTAAATGAGCGACAACGGCTTCCCCGATATAACATGGACCTCGACACCGGACTCTCTCAAGCTTTGCAAACGTGGCAGCGTATCATTACACGGCCGACTGTTTTTCTCATCCACCAGCAAGAGAACCTTAGTCCCGGCTTCTGCCGCGGCGCACAGCGCCGGTGTCACTTGGTCACAGTCATACGTATAGGCTGTAGCCATGATCACATTTGGACCCGAATCACTCGTAGACGGTGAGATGTCAACGACAGCCTTGCTGAGCCATTCACTGTCTGGGAGAAGCGCAACAGACGCGACGCCGGCGTCATACCCCGTTGTGGGAGCCTTATTTTGTGAGGCTTGACAAAGAACGTGCTGTGCCCTGAGCTGTGTCTGAAGGCCTGCTGTCCTTGTCTCAGACCGCTCTAGCTCTTTACGGAGCTCAAACAGTGTACCGCCTGACACTGCGGTGGCTGGGGAGATGGCACCGGCGGAGACTGAGGGACTCGCGCCTTCGAGCGCAGGAGCATCACGGTTGCTCCTAGGCGGCAAGGATAGCGCAAGGCGACGCGGGGTAGTCGGGGCTGTAGCAGCAATCGTCACAGCCGGCACACGACTCCTTAAGGGCGCCTTTTCAACATGGAAAAGAAGCATTTCACCCTTATCTTCGGAAGTCTCGTGAGAGAACCCACGGCCAGCAGACACTCGATGAACGATAGCACGTGCTGGACTGTTCAGCCCAGTCGCCTTTCCTGCCTGACCACTGCCCTCAATGCTGTCCAACACCGAACCAATCTTCCTTGCGATCTCTTGATTTTCGGAACCAGTAAGATCACCCAACCTCAACCCGGCGCGGCAGTACACTGAACTTGGTTCCGGTCGAAACACAACAGCCATTTCAGCCTCGACGTTGGCTTCAGGCTCTTGGCCGCTGAGTCGCAGCATCATCTTCGCGGACCGGAGAGTCCTGGCGTACAGGACGTATGCGCCTAGTGTCACTACGGAAGCCACTAGTACGCAGCAAACTCGTGTAATCAACACGGTCCCCGCCCGAAATTCCCCGGCGACTGCAGAGACGGTTTCTTCCAGCTCTGAGCGAGCCACCGTCAGCCAAAGGTCTGCCCCTTCCGCCTTCGTGGCACAGCCACGGCCTGATTGAGCCGCCTCACCTGCAATTTGGGATCATGCATGCAGACATGTGCACACAGACATGCGCTCCATGAGCTGCATGCATGAAGCCAATCCAGAGACTCCAAAACCCCTTAATGAATTCATAGGTCTACTTTATCAAATCATAAATTATATAGGGTTTTTGCCTGACACCCTCCTGAAAGGTGCACATGCAGGGGCTGCAGCAGGCCTCTTCATGGACTTCTTAGGCTTCGGATCCAACCACAAGTTCGGGACCTCAGTCTTGAATTCGGGCCCACCTTTGAAGTGGGTGATGCAGAAACCATCTGGCCCTTTCTGCAAGGGCTCCGAGTAAATGGAAAGGGATCCCTGCAACACCACATACTTTCCTTTGGATGGATCGAAGGTTGCCTTGGAGAGGTCGAGCTCGGTCTGCGGTTTTGCTTTGCCCTCACGAGGCATGGAAGGGGCAGCGACCTCGTCGTCCGAACTGGAGTCTACGACTTGGGCCATCTCTGCTTCTGGCATCCTCTTCTTCACAGGCGAAACCAACAAGGACGAAACTCCATACAACTGGAAGATGCATTCTGCTTTCGCCTCCTTCGCAGGAGGCGACTTAGCCTCCTTCGCAGGAGGCGACTCAGCCTCGCTAGCTACCTCAGGAGGCGACTCCTTTGCAGCAGGCGATTTTTCCTCCTTCGCAGGAGGCGACTTATCCGCCTTTAACATGCCTGGCGAGCCTGCTCGGGTCGATGCGGGTGATGAACTTGATCCCAGGCTGCCACTCGAGTTCTGATGCATGGGTTTTCCTTGCTGCCTCCTCATGACACCAACAAGCTTGGCCACCGATGGATGCAACTTTTTGCCCGTTGAAGTGGAGTACGACTTCTCACGAACATGACTGTAGCAGTTCACGATGGCCTGGGCAAAGGGCTTCACCTGGGATTTGCTAACCTCATACTTCAACACCATGGCCTCAGTCAGGATGCTCACAGTAGGCCGCAGGGTCAGCACAAACATATCCTCCAACAGCCCTTCCAGCTTCTGGCAAATGGAATCTATGCTGGGATCCATGAAAAGGTCCTCATCCAAACCACTCGGAAGGTTACCTTGCAAACACTTCCCGAGCTCCTTGGCAGAAGCTGTGTTCCTCACACGAGCCATGGCCCTGCCATATACATGTGTACATGCAACTCTTCGCTGCTTGAGGCACATAAAAATTCACACCATGCACGGCTGGTCAACACAGAAGCAGAATCTCAAGACGTATAGCAATTGCAACGAAACCTTTCTCAGAAATAGGCGCAGCAAATGTAATGAAACCTTCCTCAGAAACTTAAGACGTGTAACAATTGCAACAAAACCTTTCTTAGAAACTTAAGATGCTTTTGCATTCTTTATCAGGTTATGATGGCGGCAAGAGCAAGAACACAAGCGACAGACACGGCACTTGGTCGGCACATTTTGTTAGCTCTGTTTTACGTCTGGTGGTTATTTCTTGCCGGCTTCCCTTGCTTGCTCACAGATGCTTTTGCATTTTTTTTGGTGAGAATGGCTGTGATCACTGCGGCTACGGCAGCTACGGAGGCAAGAGCAAAAACACAAGCAACAGACACGGCACTTGGTTGGCACTTGCCAACTCTCCGTGCTTTGCTTACAGATGCTTTGCGGCAGCTACGGCGGCAAGAGCAAGAACACAAGCATTTTGTCAGCTTTGCGTCTGGCAACAGACACGGCACTTGGTTGGCACTTTTCAGCTCTGTTTCGCGTCTGGTCTTTATTCTTGCCAACTCTCCAGGGAAAGAGCAACCATGGTTTTTCACGTTTCTTTAGCTCAATTTCAAGCTGTGCGCCACGCGAACCGACCCCGCAAATCAGCGCAGAAACAGTGCATTGGCAGCCAGACTTGCGCGCCGCAAGTCAGAAACTGTGCAGCAAAAATTCCCTTTGGGTGAAACTGCGAAACAACCATCTGCGCAGCAGGAACCTCTGCAAATTATGATTTTTTTAGGGAGGTGGGTGGGTGGGGTTGGGCGGTGTGCATTTATACTGAAAATATGGCCTCTTACAAGGTAATGTTGAAATCTCACATTTTTGAGGCATTCTTACCAGGCGCGATTTGGCGGTTGATCGCGCTTTTGCACCTTACCCTCAATGTTGTTTACGTTTCTTGTAAATGCGGCCCTTAGTTGGCGATGGCGGGTGGTCACGTGACTTACACCCGCCCTCTGACTAGCGTGTTAAAAAGAAGCAAGGATTGGAGACTGTTTTAATGAGCGGTGTAGCTTATCTTCTTCAGCTTTGGTATGGTGCCTTTGGAGCTTCTTGTCGGGGCTGGGCCCGCCCCCTTCGTACGAAGGGGGGCTTGAAGGGGGGCTTGAAGCCCCCCTTGAAGGGGGGCTGAAGGGTCGGACTCTTGAAGGGGGCTTGAAGGGGGGGGTGAAGGGGGGGGGGAGGGGGGGGGGGGGGGAGGGGCGAAGGGTCGAAGGCTTGAAGGGGGGCTTGAAGGGGGGCTTGAAGGGGGGGGCTTGAAGGGGCTTGCAGGGGGGCTTCAAGGGGGGCTTCAAGGGGGGCTTCAAGGGGGGCTTGAAGGCGTTCTTCGAAAAATCAGAGGAGAAAAGAGAGGGATTTTAGTTTAAATTCCACCCCCCTCGAATCTTGTTTTGTTTTTGTCTTTCATTGTTCGAGAATCAGAGGAGTGGAGACTTTTTGGAAGTAAAGAGCGGGGGGGTTGGGGGGGCGCAGCCCCCCCCATTTACTTGTTGTAGGGAAGGGAACGTATTCTAAATTCCACCCCCGAATCTTTTTTGTGTTTTGTATTTCATTATTCGAAAAATCCGAGGAGAAGAGAGAAGGGAAGTTATTCTAAATTTTACGCCCCTCGAATTTTTTTGTTTTTTGTATTTCGTTATTCAAAAAATCAAGGGAGAAGAGAGAAGGGATTTTAGTTTAAATTCCACCCCCCTGAAATCTTGTTTTGTTTTTGTTTTTCATTGTTCGACAATCAGAGGTGTGGAAACTTTTTACGACGCAATCACGTACAGTAGCATGTTTTTGGCTTGAATATGTTTTTTTGTTGTGGCACGGGCTCGGCCAAGAACCCCATGTCTTGTAGCGGGAGGCTAGGGGAAGCGGCTTCGGCCTGCGAGTACCCGACGCCTCCCATCTCGAGTGCGTGTGGCAAGGGGCTAAGCCGAAAACCCCATGTTTTCTAGTGGAGGCTAGGGAGGCTGCAAGGGGGGGCTTCAAGGGGGGATCAGAGAAAGCTGCAAAGGGAGGTTTCAAGGGGGGCTTGAAAGGGGGGTTTGAGACGCGGGCGTAAACGGCGCGAAGAAGGCCCAGGTACTAGGCCTTTTAAACTGCTCCCGGAAACCCGTACAGGGAGCAGTTTAAGAGGCCTCATAACTGGGCCTGCTTCGCAGAGGTTTCAGGAAGCAGTTTAAGAGGCCTAATAACTGGGCCTTCTTCGCGAGGTTCCAGGGAGCAGTTTAAGAGGCCTAATAGCTGGGCCTGCTTCGCAGGGGTTTCAGGGAGCAGCTTAAGAGGCCTAATAACTGGGCCTTCTTCGCGAGGTTCCAAGGAGCAGTTTAAGAGGCCTAATAACGGGGCCTGCTTCGCAGGGGTTTCAGGGAGCAGTTTAAAAGGCCTAATAACTGGGCCTTCTTCACGACGTTTCGGCAGCAGTTTGAGAGGCCCACTAACTGGGCCTTCTTCGCGAGGTTCCAGGGAGCAGTTCAAGCGGCCTAATAACTGGGCTTGCTTTGCACGGGCAAGAAGCAAGGGGGCATGGATTTTAGAACAATTTTTTTCCTTGCTTCTACGGGAGGACGGCTCGAAAGATAATTCTCGACTCCTCTGTCCTTCTCCAGGCACCGCAGGACGACAAAAAAAGGGGGGGAACTCCTTTTCTTCGACAGGCTACGCAGAACGACCAAAAAGAAGGGAGGAGGAGAATGTAGGGTGGAATTTAGAATTCACTTCCTCTTTCCTCTTCTAGGGGCTACAAGTCTCCTCGGGGGTGAAATCTAGGCTAATCCTTGTTTCTCTCTTTTTCTACGGGCTTTGCAGGACGACGACAAGCAACGAGGGGGCAAATTTAAGAAATCTTCTCCTCACTTCTCAACCAAAATGAAACAAAAAGGGCCCGAAGCCCCCTTCGGGCCTCCTTTAAGGGGGACTTGGACTTGCTGAAAGGGTAGTGGGTCTTGCCCGGGCGGCCTCTCTCTTGTATCTGTGTTTTAAAACTGGCCTCTGTTGTGGCGTGGCCTCCGGCTGTTTCGTTGTTGGGGCAAGTCCTTCTTCCTCGATTTGGCCGGAACCCGTTTTAAAACGCGGTCCTGAGGGCTGAGGGCTGGCTTTTAGAAGGGTCAAAAGTGCCCGTAAAATGCGCGTAAAATCTTTTGGGCCACAGTGCGGCCTGGCAGGGATTGTTCGATCTCCTTCTCACCACAGCTCACGCTAATTCGCTTCCCATGCCAGCTCGACCCAGGCTTTAGCTCAACTGCAAGACGCAAGGCTCAAACAGACTTCTCGTCTGCAAAGAATATTCAACTGGTGGCCAGTCTTCCCGACAATTGGAGCATTAGGACCTGCAACTGCAGAAACAAGTTACTCTGCAACTTCTGGGTGAGAATCTCAAGCAAGCATTCAGAAGGCCACAGCCTCGGCAGGTGCTTTCAAGGGTTTCGGGCTCAACCGCGTGCTTTTAGGTTTGGGGCTCAACTGGAGGCAAGCTTTAGGGTTTCGTGCTCACACGCATGCTTATAAGGTGTCGGGCTGAACTAGCGATCAACTGGCGGCAAGCTTTACGTTTCGGGCTGATTGCAAGCTGTAGGCGGGCTCACCGCAAGCTTTAGGTTCAGCAAATTGGCGGCAAGTTTCTGTCTTTGCCGCAAGCTTTAGGGACTTTAAGGTCAACTGGCGGCAAGCTTTCGGTTGCGGGCTCACCTTTCAGGGGCTCAACTGCTAGCTTTAAGGAGTTTCGACTCAAGCTTTAACGGGCTCCAGGGCATGTCTGAGGCTCAGGCGGGGAACTGGCTCGCTGCCTGGCGTGACACCCGTGATCCCCGTAACATATGCCTTCCCGTAATCGTCGCGACTCTTGTTTGCAAAAATCTCCGCTACATTGCCCGCAAGGTGTTCGGGGAAGACCTGGACCGAGGGTCGGGCAGGGTCGGGCTTGGGTATTGAGGTCCTGCATTAAAGTGCAGCATCTCAGTAATACATGCGAGTCTTTGCACGCGGGCCTCGAGGGAATGCCTGGTGAGACGTCACGAGAGAAACAAACAGGGGACAGCATCAGAGCAAAGCCGTTCTCGCGGCCAGCCTTTGCTGCTAGTCTACCGGGTCCCGCCAGGTGGCTGGTGCTGCAGCTGCCAAGGAGGGTCCCAAGAACTTTTCAATCTCGCTTTGCGAGGGCAGGATCCATCCATCTTTCGTCTTTGCGTTTTGCGTCGACGATCCTCTCATCCAGTAAGCATGCTTCGCAGTCTGTGGCCGTGGGTGGTTGACACTGGCGCTGCCTTCCTTCTGCTGCGCCACCATGACTAAGTCAGCACTGTCTGCTTTTCTCCTCACAGCGAACAAGTCTACTGCCTCGAACTGTGCGTGGCTCGGGAGCACCAGCTGCAAGGTTGGGTACTGCAATGGTTGTGGCAGCTGCTGCATTGCTTGCTCGACAGTCTTCGCCGCTGGGTTGGCATCCAGACACTGGATTGCTGCCCCTTCATGTCCATGCAGCCATCCGTGCTCTTCGCCGCCCATCTGCTGCCAAATGTAGCGCAAGCCGAAGGCAACGGCGATGATCTTCTCCCACGCCTTGCCATCCTTCTCCTCTGCAGCTTGCATGCCTTGCAGCCACCGTCCAAGAACACCACAGGCAGGGCAGGCACTGCTACATTGGGTAAGGAAGTGCGACATGAAGCATGGGATCCATATTGGTCTGTCTTTTTGGCTGCCGTCCGTGAGCTGCCTGAAAGCCTCCATCTCTCTCATCGGGGTGCCTGCGAAAACCTCGCGCAAGAAGGCGGCAAGGTGCTGTTGCGGGTCATCCCGGATTTGTGAGAATTTTTGTGAGAGCAGAGACCCATCATCGTGCGAGGACCAAAGGAGTGCTGGGACTCTTGAGTAGTAGGCTGCTTTCATGTGCGTCAAGCCAGAAAATG